TTCTTACTTCTCCAAGTAACAAGATTACCTCCTACAAAAGTAAAGTAACCAGAAGTAGATCGCCTATCATCTATAGCTTCAGCCCAGTCAGCATCAGTATATGCAGCTTTGTTTTGATAACCAGCAGTTTTAGTGAACAAAATTCCTTTTCTAGGAGTAGATTTCAAATACCTCAAAATGCGCATAATTGCATTCATATGTTGCTCTCTAGGATCATACATAAACTGGCAAACAATGCTCAATGCATAAGCCAGATCCGGTCTCGTGTGTGCTAAGTACATCAATCTCCCTACAAGTCTTTGGTATCTTTCTTTATTAGCAGGTACTTGGTTGGACTCAACACATAACTTCAGTATTTCTTCTACTGGTGTCTCAGCTGGTTGACATGTTGTCATGCCAGTCTCTTGTAATAGATCTAAGGCATATTTTCTTTGAGATAGAAAGATTCCTTTATTAGATCGAGATACTTCGATCCCAAGAAAATATCTTAAAGGATCTAGATCTTTCATTTCGAATTATCTGGACAAGTACTTCTTGAGAGTCTTCATTTTTTCAGGGTCATTCCCTATAACCACCATGTCATCTACATATACAACGAATGCAGTGATCTTACCCTGTTGTTTCTTTAGAAATAACGTGTGGTCTGAATTGCTCTGACGGTAGCCAAATGTTATCATAGACTTTGTGAATCTTCCAAACCATGCTCTTGGAGATTGTTTTAACCCATATAATGATTTCTTTAATTTGCAGACCTTCCGACTATACTTTTCGGGTATCATGCATCCTGGTGGGAGATCCATGTAGACTTCTTCAGATAATTCACCATTCAGAAAGGCATTCTTCACATCGAATTGTTGCAGTGGCCAATCCAAGTTCGCAGCTAAAGACAACAAGACACGAACTGTGTTTATTTTGGCTACAGGTGCGAATGTCTCTGTGTAATCGATTCCATAGGTTTGGGTGTAACCTTTTGCCACCAATCTTGCTTTAAAGCGTTCAACTGTGCCATTTGCTTTATACTTTACAGTGTAAATCCATCGACATCCGACTGGTTTATTTCCTGGTAGAAAATCAATGAATTCCCAAGTTTCATTTTTTGGTAAGGATTTCATCTCCTCGTTCATAGCTGCTTTCCACCTAGGGTCAACTAGGCTTCTTGCACATTGTTAGGAATAGATACAGTAGATAATTGATTTACAAATGACAAATTTGATTCTAACAAACGTTGGTTCGACACATAATTGCTCATAGGATACTTAACTTTACTAGAAAGTTCGGGTTCATATGTGGGTTTAGGAATACCTCTAGTGTGACGCGGTGGTAATTGTTTTCTGAATGGCTCAGGCACTAAATCAGGAACATCCTCGGTAGGTGATTGGTTTTATATATCAGTTGCGAGGGACTCGAACTCAGACGACGATGGGTTAGCACCATACTGTCCATTTATAGGCGTTCATCACCACTTTGATCCAAACTTATACCACTCGAATCCAATTCGCCTGATTCCTGATTGGTTGGTCCAACTTGTGAGTCATTAACACTAGAATCGCCGTCCTCAAAAATGTGATAATCATAATCTAGAGTCTGAATTTCGTTCTGCTATTCCCCCTGAAGTTCAGACGCAGAGGAAAAATACATCGAGCCTTTATGGAAGACAACATCCATTGTGATAAACATTCATCGAGTGGGAGGGTGATAACAGCGATACCCCTTTTGATGAGTAGCATATCAGAGAAAAACACATCGCAATACGCGATAAGTTAGCTTGTTGCGTTGATGCTTATGGAGGTGTACAAATGCTACACAACCAAAGATATGAAGAAGTAGATTTGCGACGGTTGGGGCAACAACTGTGTCAATGAAAGCCTGCAATGGTGTCCGGAAGGTAATAGAGCTGGAAGGTACTCGATTGATGAGATATGCTGTAGAGGTAAGTGCTTCTCCCCAATACAATAATGGCATATGCGCTTCTATCAATAAAGCACGAACAACCTTCAACAAGTGTCGATTTTTTCGCTCTGCAACCCCGTTCTGTTGAAGTGGATTGGAACAAGTGGTTTGATGAATAGTTCTATGTGTTTCCAAATATTGTTGAAGGTCAAAACTCTGATATTCTCCACCATTGTCACCACGGAGAACCTGAACATGTGCATTGTATTGAGTTTCAACCATTTTATAAAACTTCTGAAACAATAAGTTCACTTCACCTTTGGATTTCATCAAGCACAACCAGGTCATCAATAAAAGTAACAAACCAACGGGATCCACTTAAAGTATTGACTTTGAACGGACCCCAAACATCAGAATGTATAATCATAAAAGAAAGTGGACTTTTATGCAAACATAAGGGATATGAAACATGATGGCTCTTTGCTAGTTCACAAACATCACAGCGTAAACTAGAAACATCACATTTGGCAAACAAACTAGGAAATAATTTTTTCAGATAACCAAAGGAAGCATGCCCCAGACGTCGATGCCACAGCCAGATTTCATAGTTTTTTCTCTCCCCCTCAAAACCATCCAATGTCAATGCTTGTCATAACTTGTAGGAACTTTTGGACATTAAGTCCAAGTAAAACAATTTCCCTCGCCGAATACCACAACCAATCATCTGCTTTGTTTGGATGTCCTTAACACACAAAGATCAAGCCAAAAAATGACAACACAAGATAAAGCTGTGGTTATTTGGAAAACTGACAAAATATTAGAATCTAACGATGGAACAACTAAAACAGAATCTAAATGCAGATTATCAGTGAGTGTCAAAGATCCTTCCCCAATAACTGGAGTCGAAGTCCCATTGGCAGTAGAAACAAATTTGTGAGAGGATGAAGTAAGAGGTGAGACATGTCTAAAATCAAATGTCATATGATCTGTAGCACCAGAATCAATTATCCATGCAATATTAGCAACATGTGTAGAAATATTGAAATTCTTATCACCAATATTTGTTGTCTTAACAACTGCTGCAGTGGAGGTCTTTGTTGAAGATTGGTGAATTTAAGGGTTGGTAATTTCTAAGTTATGTATGGGTTTGTAAAATTCAAAAAAATAAAATCAAAAGGATTCAAAGTTAAATGATGCCTCTGATACTATCTTGAAATTCAGAGAAAGAATATGAGCATTAAAAACTCTATTCGATCATTTATTTGATGAGTATTACATCCAATTTATAGAATATGATTAGCTAAAATAGGTAACTAATTAATTCAATTCTATAGCTGTACTATAAGAGATAAAATCTCAACACACCATGCCCCGTTTATAGCGGTTTTGGAGGACCATTTAACTTATTTGAGTGGGATAATTTTTGTTAATAAAAACTCGCACGGGTTGGGGCGAGGGTGGAAGGAGGTCATCCCACCCCACCTCGTTTAGGTAGGTAAAATACTAAATTACCGTTATTTTATTAGTATATATAGTTAACTCTAGAAACCTTAGGTCACATTCACTTTCTTACTCGTTCCAAAGAGCGGCAGAACCCTACGAACTAAGAACGCTCATACTCTTAAATTTTATGTTAAATTTTTTATTGCCAATTTTTTGTGAATTTTTTCAATAGTTATATAATTGTATTTAAGGAAAAAAAAATAAAAAATGAAGAGAAATTTTAGAACTAAATGAGGCGGGGCAGGTGCCCGTGGGGGTGAAAAAATTAAATAAGGACAAGGATGGGTGGAAATGCCCCTGTTTAGGCGGTTTTGGGCGGGAGGTTTCTAAACGGTTGTAGGGATGGGGAGGGTACATCCACCCAAAACCGCCCCAGTTAGCATTCACGAAATTACGAAATTACTCCAAAACTCGAGAATTAGAGTTGGAGTGAAACATTTGTCCCCAGCTAACTAGGGTAATGCTATTAAAATTTTATTAAATATAATAATTTATTTAACTTTGCACAAAATTTTTAAAAAAAAAATTTAATCTAACGGTAACATAAGAAAGTTCATAATATGTTTAATAATATATAAAATAGTTTCCTTTCCTAATAATATTACCCTATTTATTTAATTTTATTATTATTATTATTATTATTATTATTATTATTATTATTATTATTATTTTATCATATTTCAAAACCTTTGAAGATTGGTTAAAAAGAAACTGCACCTGTTACCAAAATACATTAATAAGAAACCCAGCCAGCCGTTGTTTATAGCTTGCCAAATACTCGTTGGTGGAACATTTACATGATTCTTAGAATGTTAGGCCTTGCTTGGATTGCATCTCTAAAAATTGTTCTTGAGAACAGTTTTCAGAGAATCAGAATAGAAAACAATTTTCAGTTTTTTCAGATTTCAAACCTGCTTGGTTAAGAGAATTTACAAAACAGTTTCCGGAAAACAAAAACTCATAAAACTACTTGGTTGTATGAGTTTTTGAAAATAGTTTTATGAACTAAGAAAATAAATAAAAATATTATTGTACCTCACTCTTTTACTTCTTTAATTTATGAAATTAACTATTAATGTAAATATATATATATATATATATATATATGTATATATATATATATATATTTAAATAAGTGTTGGAGGTAAATTCATTTTAACTAGTATTCTTCAACTTAATAAATATTGCACAAATACAATATATCAAGTTTAATTAAAATTTGACTAAATTTAAATACAATAAAAGAGTTACATGAATTACTTCAAGTGTCATATGCACTTTTAGTTGTACAAATATTAATTTTAGTGATACATAACCAAAACAAAATATTAGAGAATTACACAAATAGTTAATCAAAGCAAAACATTGAAGAATTATAAAAGTAACTTTATCTAGCATTGCCTCCGAATGATGCCCACATTTGATTCGTCAGATGAGTTCTAGGGGCTCCCATTTGTGCTGCACCATCATCGGATAAATTAAGTGTCTTTAGTACACCAATATTTAGTATTAAGACGTGTGTATCATGCATGGATTGGGTTAGAGACATTTAATAAGATGTGTGTATCAAAAGACCCATTCATTCATAAATTGCATCCATAAAAAAATAAAAATAAATAAACTTTCTATAAAAGAAATTGAATCCAATGATATTCAAATACAATTTTTTTTTTCTTTCATTAATGAATATGTTATATTGAACCAAAAGATCGACTATTTAGTACATACTTAAAGAGGGCATACCCTCCATGAAAAATCAACATGGACTGCCTAACAGACCACTCAAAACGGTAAAGAAGCTTGGACAAATGATGATGATGCATCAAGAATAGTGACCCATAGATTCATTTTTTGCCAAATCCCCCAAGAAGAGAACAACTTTTTCTGAACTTCTTGTTTGATATTATAATCAAATTATATCACCAAATCATGAAGAGTTGAAAGGTCAAGCCCAATGAAGCAACTAACAGATCTAAACCCAAACAATTGGTTTGTATCATCATCAATAGCCTCCCCACAATTGACACAAATGGATGCCAGTTGAAAAATGCTCCACCGTAGTTACAAGCACAAACATGCCTAGCTGCAAAAAAATAAATAAATAAATAAAATCATGCAAGTCCAGCAATAAACTGAACATAACACATCGATACCAGATGATAAAACATTCCTAAATTGAAAACTACAAACTCAATCCTCAACTCTATCCCCTGGACTAAACCAGATCATTTGATCCAAAATGAATGAACACTCTTATGGTAAACAACATCCTCAATCTTCATCTTTAAAAAAATTAAACTGAATAAAATTCATTGAATCAAGATGACTAAATATGAGAGCATAGTTAGATGTACCAAATCAAAGCAATCAAAAAGAGGGATGTGTTTCCTTTTAAATAAGATCAAATAGCAAAAATGCTAACATACCATAATATCATGTAACGAGTTATCTCTGCAAAGTCCAAAAGATTATATGAAACAATAAGAACACATTTCTATAAACAATAAGAACACAGTACATGACCAAACAATCTAACATGCCAATCAATGGGTTTGGATACTCAAATTGAATATTTCTACATTCTCATAACTAAAGTTATAACCATAAAGTACTGTGAGTTTGATCCATTCAATGGTTTAGGATATGGGGAGGAAGAAATCAGGAAATCCCAAACTAAAAAATAATTGACACATTCCTATCTAGTAAAAAATTTCAAAAATTACCTAGAAAAAAAGTTAATCGGAAGCAAAATCTTTTAAATACAAACAAGGCAAGACCAATTTTGAAGTGGTGATGACAAATTTGTATTTTATTAACTCCTGAAAATGTCAAAGGTAGATAATAGGAATCACCAACAAAACATATAAGGTTTATTTGTCAAAAATAAAAGTCTAAACAAGCTATCATATTCACTCCTAATACACATCAATGTGCCAAACAAAGGGAGCTATCATATTCACTCCTAATACACGTCAATGTGCCAAACAAAGGGAGAGAGAAGCACTTAGAATAAACTAAACCAAAAAAAAGTATTGCCCTCTATAATGAATTTAGATATTTAGAATCAATTTTCCAAAGAGATAAAAGATTCAATACTAAACAAAATGGGATCTAACCAAATTTGTCATTTAAAAAGTGGTGTAAACAAAAAAAGTCCTTTTGACAACATAGAACAGAACACTAGTTTAAGTTTCATTCTCCAGAATAGCAAGAGGACCACAACAACTATGTAGAAAGATCAAAAAAAAATTGCTCATCAAATTAACAGGGGAAAAAAATGAACTTTTTGAGTCCAAGATTGAACAAATATAAAATAACAGAGATTGGAAATCAAAAGCCAACAATAAATGATGCAAATTAATTAAAAAAATAAAAAATAAAAAATTATCCAATTCGCATTCAACAGAGAACCCAAATATGAATAATCAGATACCAATATCAAGAGAGATTGGGGAGAGTTCAAATCCTTAATGGGTTTTTAGTGGTGTTAGTTATCTAACCCTAATTAAATAAGTTACAAGCAGTTCAAATTGTTGACAATCAAACCAAATTGAAAGTGTTATCAACAAAGTAAATAATCAAACCTCAACCCAACACAACCAAATCCAACAGGTCAAATAATAAACCCTTAACCAAAGCACATAAAATCGGAAGTGTAAACAACCACAGAAAATCCAACACAACCAAAGAAAATCATCAACCCTCAACCCAAATCGGAAGTGTGAACAACCACGGAATATCAATGAATCTGTGAGAGTTTTACCCGAACGAAGAGAGACAACTGCAGGCAGAGAAGCGCAGATCGACCATCATTAGACGAGCTTCAAGAAACTGAAAGATGGGTTGAAGAGAGACTGTAACCATGAAATCTGAGAGAAAATGCTTAAAGAGAGATTGTAAGGAGGGCTTGAACGGCTGAGGTTATAAACGAGAAGGGTTCCGTCATTTTTTTTAAGCGAACAAAGTGTTCTCCGTGTTTTCCCTCAAATGAGAATAGGTTTTAGAAAATTCAGAAAATAGCCCAAAGTTGTTCTCCAAAAAGCTTAACTCATTTATCTCAGTTTTTCAAAAACAGTTTTTAAAAAACAGAACCAAGTAGACCAATTTTATGAGTTTTCAGTTTTTTGCAACTATGAAAACAGAAAACTGTTTTGGGAGAATCAATCCAAGCAGGGCCTTAATATTCCTTTTGATTCTGGTATCTGATATCTTGTTATTCCCTATGTATGGCTTGCCTCAAAGAAAATCAAATTAGGGTCTGCAGGTAGGGTATGAATTGTTGGGGATGATTGAATTTTGACTCCTTTTTTCTTGTTTTCCAAAATACATTTATGGTTTTCAAAACGCTGATACATACCCTTCTTTTGGATCTTAATTAGAAAAAAACAAAAAAAAACAAAACAAAAATCAATAGAGAGAATGTCTAATGTAGTAATCTGCCACATTGTTACAACTTACAAGATAAATGGAAGGGATTTAAGAAAAGGAAAGAGGAATAGTTACTCACAAAAAAATGAAAGGAAACCAGGTACAGGACCAGTGCCACCACTTAATATCCAAGTGAGATCAAGCAGAAAATTAACATACATTCAAAGAGAACTTGCTTTAACACCACTAACCTTGCAGCCAAAAGCCTTTTCTGAAACAACTGCCCACCCCCACAAGGAAATGGCCTTCCGCCAACAATACTCAGCTTTAACATTGGGAAGTACAAACGCCGGTAACCTACATGCTCCTCACCAAGCCTGACAACCACAAAACGTATCAACTCAATTCTTGTCAGGTATGATAGTCAAGGACCACCAAGCCAACCCCACCACCCCACCAATCCCCCCCCCCCCCCCCCCCCCCCCCCCCCCCCCCCCCCTCTCTCTCTCTCCCTTTTTGTTATTAATACAGATCCAAGTCCAGCAACCACAGTGGCTGATAGAAGGTCCTTTGGGCAAATTTACAACATCATTGCTCTATAGTTGATAGACCCTTGGATGGCTATTGGAGATTGGAATGTGGTGAGGTTTCATCAAGAAAATATTGGAGGTATAAGCATCCCTCAAAGGGTAGTTGATGAATTTAATTCAATTCTGGAATCCATTGGGTTGGATGACCTTCCTGCGGCTAATGGTACATGGACATGGTCCAATAATCAATATTCTAGAAGGAGAATTTGTACTAGGCTTCATAGACTCACTGTTAACCAATGTTGGTTGGCTACCTTTTGCAACTCCAAGTTATTCCTTACTGTAGCCTCTCTGTCTGATCAGTTTTCTATGGTTGTAACTTGTAAGCTATGATGACTAATGAGAACTGCGCAGCTGGTCCTAAGCCCTTCAAGTTCTTGAAGAATTTTGTGCTCCGTGGCTGAGGTTGGAGCAGATTGTTGATTATGTGTGGAGAGAAAATACGTTCTCTTATAATCCTATTCACAGATCTATGGAAAAATTGAGATTGGTGTAGTATGAAATTAAGGAATGGAACAAGGCTAAAGGTCATACTTCTGATCTCTTGAAGGCTGCTACTAAGAAGCTGGAGAAATTTCAACTTCAATTGTTGCATTATCCCATGAAGGAAATGTGTATTGAGGCTGTTAATGTAGCAACAGAAGAAGTGGAAAATTTATATGCTTGTGAGGAGAATTTGTGGGCTCAGAATTCAGGGATACAGTGACTCGCAGATAATGGTAGATGTTAAAAAAAAAAAAAATTATTCCACAACAAAGTGAAATAGAGAAGAGCTGTTAATTCCATTTACTAGACTTGAAACGGAGGAAGGAAGTGTGTCCTCTAATCAGAATTCCATCAGAGCTTGGTTGGTGGAATTCTAGGAGAGGTGGTATTCCAAGTCTTCTAACCTATCTTCTAATTTGCAGGAACCTAGAAAATGCCTTGGACTCTCTTAGAGGCAATTACCGGAGAATCCTATTTCTGAAGAAGAAATGAATGAAGTTGTCATGGGGTTTGCTCCTGACAAGGTTCCTTGTCCAAATGGCATGCCTCCTAGATTATAGCATAGATTTTAGCGGATTATCAAGGATGATTTGATTGCATCTGTCCTACATTTTTTTACATCATCCTCTATGCCTTCAGTATAAATGCTACATTCCTTACTTTGCTCCCTAAGAAGCATGACTGTTTCAAGGTCACTGACCTCAGACCTATTTCACTTCGCAATACTCTTTACAATTTAGTCTCTAAAATTTTGGCAAATAGACTGAGTCTTGTGTTGCATAACCTAGTGGATTATGAGCAAACTCCATTTTTAGCTCACGACTTAAGGATTTCAATATGAGAAACGGGCATGAACGTGAAGAAAGCCTATGATTCAATTTCATGGGACTTCATTGCTGCTACTTTGAAGAAAAAATATGGTTTTGGTGATCAATGGATCAGATGGGTGCTCTCTGTTTGCGAGAAGAACAGACCGCATTAATGTGAGAGACAGTCACAGTGTCTGCTCTTCCTCATCAACAACCCCTGTCCTCCATTAATATACTACTCCTACTTCAGTTCTTTTAATTCCAACACACAATTTATATTTTAATCACACTCTCTTCCCAAGGTTTTTCTCATACCTCCTTTCTATAACTGTCTTTCACTTTTCCTTCTTGGGCTATTCTCTGTTTTTCCGTAATATCTGGGACAAAACATAGGTTGTTTGTTCATATCTGGGACTTCAGCTTCTTTTTCTGTTTTTGTTAATGGCACTCCCTCTGGCTTTTTCAAGGCTGGCAGGGGCATTAGGCAAGGTTGTCCCCTTTCTCCTCTTTTATTCACCTTGGTGACTGAATACTTTTAAAACTTGATGCATAGAAAAGTTATGGAAGGTGCTCTTCAGGTCTGCAAGCCTTGCAAAGGTGGGAATGAAGATTAATCATTTCGTTTTTTTTCTGTTGAACTTGTTTTAGTGGTGAAGGCTCACGTTGGTACTGCTAGAGCCATTAGTGAGGTGCTGGATGAATTTTATAAGGTATCGGGTCTAATGACAAGTAAAGAGAAAAGTGTTATCTTCTTCTCTAGATCTGTTAGAAGGAAAAGAAGTCTTCTGGGAGTGCTGCAGTTTCCTATTGATTATCTTGGTTTGCCTCTTGTGAGCAACACTTTGAAAAAGCATCGTTGTTTGCCTCAGCTAGACAAAGTGGATGCTAAGTTCTCTGTTTGGAACGGCCTAAATCTGTCCATGGCAAGGAGGGTAGAGCTAATTAGATCTCTTCTTACCTCCTTCAGTTATTAATGGGCTGTCCTGAAACTGTGAAAAAGGATTTTAACAGGAAATTGAAGTCATTTTTATGGGCTGTAAAGAGAATAGTCAGAAGATGCATCCACTCAGCTGGAGTAATGTTGTTTTGCCTAGAAGTGAGGGTGGTTTTGGCATTAGAAGAGTTGAAGATATTAATATAGCAGCTCAGTACACTCTTGTTTGGGATTTCATCCAGACCAAAGATACCTTGTGGATTGCATGGTTCAAGCACGAGTATACCAGACAGTCAAATTTCTAGCCTAAAACTACAGATTCTTTCATCTGGAGGAGTATGCTGCCTGTGAGAGATTTTATGGCTCGTAATTTGAACTACTCTGTACGTAATTGAACTTCTTTCAACTTCTTCATGGACCCTTGGTTAAATAAGAATTCCTTGTTGAATCAGTTTGGCTTTACTTCAGTTCAGATATTTGTTCAGCATAATCAGTGGCAGTTTCCTGCAGAATTCCCAACAGCTTTGGCTGGCTAAATTACTGCAGGGCATGATGAAATCTTGTGGAAGAATGGAAAATTCTCTTTCAAGTCTGTGTGGAATGCTTGCAGGTTTAAGGGTAACAAAGTGGATTGGAAGCTTTGATGTTGGAATTCATGCAGGCCTAGAATTGGGGTTGCTGCTTGTTTGATCTTTCAGGATGCTGTTCCTTCTGTCACTTGCTTACAAAGGAGGGCCTTACTTTGACTTCTATTTGCTTTAACTGTTGGAAGGGTGTTGATGATATGAATCATCTATTCTTTCAATGTGTTTTGGCAAAGGATGTTTGGAACTGGTTCTTCAATTTAATTGGGAGTAGAGTGCAAGCTGTTATATTTCTGAGTTTTATCTCAAGTATACCAAGATGATTACTGGCAGCTCTTATAGAGCTAAATTTATCAGAAATGCTTTTGCTGCTATCTTATGGAATCTGTAAAAAGAAAGAAGTTCCAGATTGCATGGGGGTGAAATCAGGAGTGCTCGTCAGATTGGCGTGGACTCAGTTTTTAAGGCTGCATTTGGCATTGGCTTCTCTTTACATGATCTAGTTTCCATGGGTTAGCTTCTTCTTTGTTTAGTCTTTGCTGCATTTTTAATTACTTTTTGCTCTGCAAATGGTTCCTTTCTGTCTATGGTTTCTAATTTTCCTTTCTGTCTTGAAATTGAACCTCCCTTAGGGGCATGATGCATTTCTAATCCTCGATGTGATGCTTAATAAGCGGTACTAAGAAAGAATTTTAGAAACTTTTTCTACTTCCTGCTGCTTCTCTTTAATTTTCTGTTCTTTAACACCCCTAAAAATCCCAAAACAAACCTCGCAAACCCCTTGCCTACCCTTAAATATCCTAATGACAAGCCCTGGTTTTTCCCTCTATCAGCTCCTGCACCCTAGAACTACAAAATCTAGCCTTTTTTTTTTTGCTCATGGTTACTGTGCATGCTCCCCTATACTTTCTTTTTTCCTACTCAACAAAAAACCCGAGACTATCCCTTCTTCCATTTTGCAAAACCTAACACTACACATCTTCCCTAACTTCTCAATAGAGAAAATCAATTATAACTAACTCTTAAAAACCTTTTACAAGACTGTGTCCTTTGCTCTTGTACTACATGAAAAAGTGGCACTATGAACTATGTTACATATAATATATATGCAATATATTATATATGTATGGAGGTGTTCCCCGCGTCTGAATTCTAGGGTTTACCATGCTTGCTTCTCCATATTGGACTACACTCGACACCTGTGTTGTGACCACAAATCATAGTGAAATTGATAATGCGTAGTTTAACAAGTCCTTTAGCCACTGAATTTACCAAATTGAACTGCAGATAATAACATTTTGTAAAAGGATAAATCTAATGGATATAATTCTAGATATTAAAATGAATCAACAATAATTCAAAAAGAAAAGAAGTTCGATGATTCCATTTAGTAGGAGGGAAGAAGTGGAGGGAACTGAGGAGAAAATTGGTCACGTTTCCATGGTTTGGTAAGAACACAGGGAGCCAAGGGAAAAGAGGAGGAAGCACTGCCCCCACTAGGCCCTGCAATCATTTTTCAATTTATTATTTTTTACTTATATATCTCTTAAAACTAGCATATGTAAAAGCATGGTGTCTACTGTCTATCCTTTTTTAAAAAAAAAAAAATCTTTACAAATGTTTAAGCAAAAAGGGTTAATACTAAAATGTACACTCCCATTTGGGCTAGAAGAGAACCCTCAACACCGATCACTTTGATATTAATTCGAAAAAACAAAAGTTGATTTGAGGTGGGGTAATCTGTATTAGAATACATGAGCACCAAATGATGTGGGAACTTTGTAAGAGTGCAAAATCCCATACAAATAGAAGCCAAATTAGTAAAGGATATTGCCTAATATTATAAAGTCTATGTAGATTAATCTAAATATTATAATTTCCCTACTTGAATACAGTTGAACTTACCGTTTGGCAAATTGTTGAGTACTCCAAGGATCATCGTTTTCCAATATAACCGCTTTAGCAGGTTTAAGATTAGCAATGCTTCTAACGAGGTCAACATACTCTCATTACCAAAATCACCTGGAGAAAGGCCACCAAAACAACCACCAAAAAAACAGAAGCTTAAAGTAGCTGAACAACTAAAATAGTAACCGAGAGAAAAATAGAAGCATGTTTTTAAATAGCACCAAATCTGGCTGCATTTCCACATAAAACCATGTCAAATAGGTAGAAGAATTAAAAAGTAAAATATTGAGCAACACGTTGCTTAACATTCTATAAGAAGTGATTAGCATAAAAAGTTAAGTGGAGCTGTTACACAGTGTTGGTCCCACTTTCTAGGAGGAGTGGATTGGTGACCTCTGGCACGATTGGGATGGATTGGCTACCACTAACTCGAGCTTGAGTTTTTTAAAATTAGTTTGATAAAATAAAAAACTATAACTGACAAGAAAAATATAATTCACACAACTCAATTGGATAAGAAGAAAAAAAGACCACTATGATAGGGGGAAAAAAAATTTTAAAAAAAAAACGTAATACAATACCCGAAGAAGAGATTTTTACCTGCAAAAATCGAAGATTCCAATAATCATGATTCAAAATTCCAAAATCATTTAAAACATTAGCAATATATACATATAGCTGATTGTAATTCATAAAAATTAAAAAATAAATAAAAAGTTGCACATATATTTTAACCAGAAGCTTCAATTTAAAAACGGTTTTAGATGACTTCACTTAGAGGGAGAGAGAGGTCACAACGTTTCTGACAATGCGATTCGAACATAGCTCCCCAACGACGACGAACTAGATAGAGAGAGGGAGGAACCGTCAGATTTTGCTAACCAGATGCTTCTCAGCAAACAGTATTTGCCAACCGTCAACTTAGAGCACACCTCTTGCTTGGTGTGAACTTTTAACTCTTGGGTTTCATGCTGACCACAAACGACTTCAGTATTGTCATTTGTCAACAAAAGGATTAACAAAGCGCAACTCATAACCACAAAACATTGACAAATTGAAATACTATATTTTTATTAATTCTCATATCATAACCACGAAGGAATTACTATATTTTTTTTAATTAGCAAAAAATTTTATTGTTTAATATTTTCTTATTTATGTATAAATAATTTTTAAAATTTTTTATCTTTCTAAAATAAATAATATTATTTTAGACCAAAGATCTTAAGCCACTAGATTAAAAAATAAAAAATAAAAAATGGGAATCGTTAATTTCTTCACACTCAGTTTTAAGTTGTAAGTATCTAGTACACTTTCCTTAGTTTAAACAAGGAAAATATAGTCTTTTAAAAAATAAATAATAATATTTAACTTAGATTATGTTATATTTTCTATCTAAGAAAAAATGTATTTTTTTGATTAAATATCATGAAATCATACTTTTTATGTGATGTTTAACAAAAATAAAGTACCAAAATACCATGATTTGGGTGACAATATGGCTTTGTATTGGCACCTTTATACTTATGGGTGGCAATTCGTGTTTCTGGGTTGTGTTCGTATCGTGTCGATGTAAAGATATTATACTAAATAGGTAAATCCAAACCCAACTTATTTAATAATTGTGTCAAAAATTTCAAAACTAACCCAACTCGTTTATTAAACAGGTAAACGTATTAACCCGACATGTTTATTAAAACGAGATATTTAATATTTAATCAAATACTAAATAATAGAAAAAAATTGTCATAATTAACCCAAATATTAAAAAAAAAAAAAAATCATAAGGCATAAACAAGATTTATATTGAAATGACTTAACTATTCATAGCAATTGGGTTTAACCAAATAATATATTAGATAAGTCATAATCACGATTATAATATGTTGAATTAAATGGATCATAAACGGGTTACATGGGTTGAACTCCTCAACCCTAACCCGACACGGTTAAGTTAACGAGTTAATCGTGTCGACCCTTTTATAACTCAAACCCGTTTATACCAAATCTAAACATTTTTAACTCGTATCGAGTTCGTATCGTATTAGCTTGTCGTAATTTGCCACCGTGGCCCTACTTATACTAGAGTTGTTTGCATATGGCATAGAGATTTTGAATTAGAATTGCTGGCACCTCAGCTTAAGGGGTTTAAGTTTTTCAATTCAAATCCAAATTGAACCCACACCCACAAATAATAGAATCATTGTTAGATATGGAATACAGTATAAGCAATTAGAAAGATAAAATTACATAATCAAAGCTTTCAAAATTTTATACCAAAATTATAAAACAAAGTTTCAATGTTGACATTGGGAGGGAATTAAAACAAAGGCCATGGTTTTCGACAAGTTGGACATGAATCATTCTTCCACAACCACCCAGAAATGCACCTGGTATGGAAAACATGGGAGCAGGTTGTTCTAGTGATCCTCGTGGCAGTCGTTAATTCATCAAGACAAATCGCGCATTTATCACCCTCAATAAACTCCTCTTCCTCACCCTGCAAGGGTTCAACTTTAACAAACCCTATCGGTTCGTCAATCGCAACGCCTCTGGTCGGAAAATACCCCTTTTCGCCCAAAAATTCTCTTATAATCCACAAATACAACTCCACGTCTACGCTGTAACTATCATATGGATCATCCTCTACTTTCTCCGCATCGTGATCTATCTCGAAATCCGAAAACCCCGACGAGTCCGAGTCAGATCCGGGGTCGTAGTCGTATCCCAGCCTAGGTGGGGTAGGAGGTGACATCGACGCTATAGGGGAAAGATTGAGATCGATGTGGGTGTGATCAACGGTTCGGATTCGATAAATTTCAGTCACGATCACAATTTTGGGCAAATTGGGGCCAAGAATATTCTTGGTGCAAAAATTGTAATTTTTGAGAAGATAGTCTGAGATTTCATCGCCTAATGGTAGAATGGTCTCTGGTAGGAACTGTTTGGTGGCCGAGAGAACGGTGTGAGGCAGTGACTTGATGGAATGGTGAGAGAGCAACCCTTTGACATCGAATCGTATTGCTCTCCGTAACCTGTCATCTTTGATTTCGATATCGGTATCGCGGTGGATGGTAGTGAATTTGCTGGTGATGAAGTAGACCAACAGACCTTCAGACTCAGATATTCTGTTCTTGCGAAGCTTTTCGTTCCACCGGAACACACGCACTCTTCTGCAGTGAGCTTCTTCCTTCACAATCACCATCTTCCACTCTCTCTACTCCGTATATACTGTAAATAAAATACCCCAACGACTCATATTTGTAGGGACGAAATCACGAAGTTACTCCGAAACTTGAGACTTGGAGGGAAACTAGGATTTTATTAAGTGTGACGACTTCGAGTTGGAGGGAAACAAGGATTTTATTAAGTCAGCCTTGTTAACTTTTATTTTTGCATATGTGGCATTAATCGTTATCCAAGTCTCTGGTTTTATCTAATAATCTACTATTTTTAGTATTTTCTTCTGGTTTTTCAGTGAATTTTCAAAATAAAAATGTAGAAATGTACGTGGAATAATTGATTACTTATAAATCTTCTCCTTTTTTTTTTCGTTTTTTTTTTTTTTTTTTTTGGCTGCTAGGACAAGAATATTAACAGAAATATGAACCAGAACAGTACCATGTGTAATGTGCTGACTTATAAATCTTTCTATGTCTCAAAATAAGTTTTTCTTTTTTAAAATCTAACTTTAAAAAAAAAATTAATTATTATTATTTTTTTATTATATTAGTATTAAATGAATTTTCAAATTTATCCCTAAGTGATATGATAGTTTATTTTTTATAGATTCAATGGGAAAAGGTTAAATTGATAATATTACAAAAATGGTACATTAAATTTTTAAATGAAACATTTATTTTGGGACCTATCAAAGTAGAACAATTTTTTCTTTTGAAAAGCATTTCCTTTCCTAATAAGTTTCAAATTTATCCTTTCAATATTTAAAGATTTTGTTTGTTAATTAAAAAAGCTTTCCAAACTAAAGTATAATTTTGGACCAATTTAAATTTTGTAAGATTACTTTTCTTTTATATATATATATTTATATATATATATATATATATATATATGTTTTTGAATGAAGCATTTGTTTTGAAAATCTTGCAGTAAAGAACGAGCTTATTTTATACGGATGGGGAATACATATGTGGGACGAATTAGTTATAGATAATAGCTACTTGCCTTCATGCAAGGTCAAATTGCACAGAACACTAATTTCCCGGGGGAGCCGAATTCACTGAACACTTTTGAAATTAAGGGTTTTTTTTTTTTTTAGTTCTTTTTTTGAAAATTAGTTCGCAAAGAAAATGAGAGATTAAGAGAGAGGGTCAAAAACTAACATTTAAAAGTTCCTATGGTTAGTATGAAGTAAATAGAAAGAAAGAAAAAAATTTAAATTTGTAATTATTTTAAATAATTAAATATAATTGGCAAAATAACTTGTGATAAAATAAAATGCAAAAATAACAATATAAAAATTGCATTGTGATACATTTGAGAAAAAACAACAAATTCAATCATAAAGCAACAAATCAGGTACGTACGGAGCCAGCATGGGCTCAGGGCAAGTGCTCCTTGGAGTAATTATTGGATACCCTGGGGGTATGGTACCCCAGGGCATCCCAACCCTTGGATGTGGTGGGGCCATCACCACATTCATAATCTAAAGGCTCTCACTACCTTAGGTATCATATCCGGAAAGTATTCAATAATTTCTCGTGCTCCTTGCCCATGCTAGCCTATTAGTTTTATTTTTTTATACTTTTCTTATGTATAATTTATTCAAATGCCTCTATAAAATTATTTTTCTCAAAGCTGCCCTTGACAGTACTAACCCATTAAAATATATTTTACATTTTATGCATATGATTTATTAAAGGTTTCGCTATAACCTCCATTGTTTATTTACCTCCCGTGTACTTTAAAAATGGTGCGAATTAGTGCATTTTGGCGTGAACTGCTATTGACCGGTACCGGAACTACAAAAAGACTAAAATAACCTTCTATCTATGATTAAAAAAAACTAATAATATAACATAAAATGTGAAAAGACTAAAATAGCCCTCTATCAATACTCCATCTCTGTTCTCGTTCTCGACTCTGATCTTGCCCCCTCTCTGTGCAACTGCAAACTACAAAACCATATAAAAGTTCAAATCCCATATATCTATTTGTCTACAAGAATCAAAAGTTCAAAACGAACTAGGAAAAAAAGTTCAAAACCTAATACCCATCAAAACCGATATCGGCATATCATTTCAGATTGTTCAAAAAATTAAAACCCATATATTTCAGTTTCCATTTCAGATTGTTCAAAAAATCAAAACCCATATCTTCAGTTTCCATTTCCAATTGTTCCAAAAATCAAAACCCATATCTTTCAGTTTCCATTTCCGATTATTCCAAAAATCAAAACCCATATCTTCAGTTTCCATTTCAGATTGCTCAAAAAATCAAAACATATATCTTTTAGTTTCCGTCGTTGTTTGGATGGCCGGTGAACGAAAAAGCTAGAAATGGACAATCGCCGTCGTCCACTGTCGGACTGTGGATTTGTGATTCGCCGTGGTCTCGCCGATTTGCCTGGTCGCTAAAGCTGATATGGTGTTTCCAATTCTCAGTTAGGAAAGGTGGTGTTTGGACGTGACTCTATAACCCTTGATCATTTTGACGAAATACCAAAATTAAATCCCCAAATCACACTGAATTATCAGAAGTGACGGAGATGGTGGGGTGATGGCAGTGGGTTTGTGTTGTTAAATTGGGTTTGACGGTGTGGTGGTGGTGTATGTTTTGGAGTGATGGCAGTGGGTTTGTGTATGTTTGGGGTGGTGCCACTGGGTTTGCGTGGTGGCGTACGTTTCACGTTGAGCGGCAGAGACGGTGTTGTTGGTGGGAGGTGAGGAGGTGATGGCCGGCGACTGACCGCCATGGAAGTGGGAAGTTCTCTCTCTGATTGGGAATATATATATATATAAGTTCAAAACTACATCACAGAGAATCGAAATCAATATGGGAATTCTCTTAATCGCAAAAAACTTGGAAAATTAGGTTTAACCCTCTGCAATCCAGTCGGGTTGGGTTCGCCGAAACAAGCAATTGGGTTTCAATATGAACATCAATTCGGCGACGAGACCACACTCTCGATTTGGGTTCGCCGAAACAAGCAATTAGGTCTAATTTGAACCATCAATTCGGCGACGAGTGAAAGGGAGGTGTGTCGCCGGAGAGGAGTGGTGAGGGTTTGGATTTCAATCCCTCTGTTTCATATTTAACTATTTCTCTCTCTCTCTCTGTGTAACTGCAAACTCTCTCTCTCTCTCTCTCTCTGTAACTGCGAACTACAAAATTTACCCATATATACTATATACAAATATATATATATATATATATGGTGAGGGGTAGTATAGAAATATTAAAAGGGTAGTTACGGAAAAAAGGGTTAAAAATGGTCATGTGCATGTCAAATTCTCACCGGAATAGTCACCGGGCTAAATTGCACATTTTTATATCCGGTAGAGATTTATATAAATAAATCTAACAAAAGGGGTATAAGTGGCAAATTTAAAACTACAAAAGTGTTTTTCAGACTTTTCCCTTTATTAAATTATATGAAATCACCTCCTAAAATTATTAATTTTTCAAAAAGTCTTTCTAATTCTTTCTCTTTTTTCCCTTCTTACTCTTCTTATTCAATTTTTTTTCCTTCTCTTCAAAAAAATAAATAAATAAAAATTACATTTCCTTTCTTCAATCGAAGTTCAAATTTTTTTTCTTTTACTAAAATATTTATTTTATCACGTGTAATATTGTTCTCCCTGAACTAAATTTATGATGTTCCTAAATGCTCTTACTATTAAAAACCTGACCTCAAATATATGAAGATGCATATCAATTCAAAATTTAATGATTTTTAAGTGCAAGTTTTTTATGGACTATTGTCTTGGTGTTGTTTGATAAAACTAAAAAATAAGCACTAGTTTATAACTGTGAAAACAATTCTCAAGAATTTAGAAAATATAAAATAATTTTTAGAGAACAATAAATGATAATTATCTGAAAATAAGTCTTTTTATAACTGAGTTTTTAGAAAACTAAAACAAACAGAATTTTTTTTTAATAGTTTAAGAAAATTGTTTTCGGAGTTACAAATTAAGCAAACTCCAGACCTTTTTATAACTGTGTTTTTATATAAAAAAAATTTAAAAAATTGAACTAAGTAGAAATTTTTGTACAGTTTTCTGTTTTAGTTTTTTGAAAACAGAAAACTGTTATCAGAATTACAAAATAAACAGACCCAATATTTTTTTTGATATCTTTTTTAATTTTTAATGTTCAGATACTCCTATCACTTAAAAATTTACTCTAAGAAATATTTATCATTTTGCTCAATCCGTTTAGAATTAAATTCTTCTCTCCCAACTATCAACTATTTTGAGAGAAGGGAGTATCAAAAAAACACCTCACTCTTGTAATGAATTGGGCTTAAAAAGGTTAAGATTGGGCTTAAAACAAATTGATTGGGGTTGGAAGTAGCAGCACGGGCAGGTCAGGTGAGCCGCAAACGGTTCGGGTTGCATTAGAACAAACCAAACACAGCCAGAAGAAGCACGTGAACAGAACTTTCCCTTCTCTATTTCAATCAAACCCCATGCCTATATATTTCATGCCAAAAACAGATTACCCCTGAATATACAAAACAAACCCACACACACACACACACACACACACTCTCTCTCTCTCTCTCTCTCTCTCTCTCTCTAAACTCATTACTCTCTGAAGTCTGAACTTCAACGTTGGTGAAAATTTTGTCAAGGCTACAGTCACGCACAATGGGTCGAACTAAGAGAAAATTGAACTCACCCAATTCAGATTCCGTCAAATTATCTCATGTTGATCATGGCCGTTCTGGTAAGCAATCTTTCTTACACATTCAAAGTGTAATTTAGTTTTCAGTAGTATAGGTTTTTATTGGCTTTAGAGAATTAAAACTGTGCTGTTTTCCAAGATTGTTCATTTTCAGTATGGATTGTACTCTTTTTTGCTTGAAGGGTTGGGTTTAGTTGGGTCTTGTTCTTGAATTATGTTCCTTTCTTTCAACGCGTTTAAAGAAAAGATATTGGTTGTCACTTGTTCAGATGATTTTTGAAGTTTGTGCTATTGTTAACAAAATTTGTTGTTTTGAGGCTTCTGCATGCATTGCCTTGTTCTTGGCTCTTTATTATGGATTGATATTAATTAAGCCCATGTTCTTGAATTGTATTTTGATTTCTGAATTCTAGTATAGAAATATTATTCTTTTTCTTTTCTTTTTCCTTTTCTTTTTTTGTTGATGGCTGATAAACGATTTTGATTTTTTGAGGGAAAGGCATTAGTTTGATGGTTTATGTGTTCATGTTATTTATTTCTTTTTTGGTTATCCAATATTACACTTTAATCGGTTTTCAATTTGAATTCTTGTAAAGAAAGATATGGATGTCAATAGAAGGGTTTTCAAGTTTGGGTTTTGGATGATAAAATGTTGATATTGTCATTAATGTGAACATAATTTCCTTTTGGTTCTTTGATATGGATCTCTCCTTTTGAGTTTATATATTTGAAAGGGTCTGAAGGTAGGGTATGAATTGGTGGGTGTGGTTTTGAATTTTGATTCGTTTTTTTTTCCTTTCAAAATACATTTATGATTTTCAGAACTCTGCTACATACCCTTCTTCTGGATCTTAACCAGAGATAAAATAGATAAGGAAAATGCCATAAAAAACTTAGTGGAGGAGATTAGGAGAATAGAGGCCCAAGCTTTCCCCTCTTTGATGCATCATAGCTTTAGGGTTTCTTGAGGAATGGTATTAGTTTTGTGCTCATTGATGGTGCATAGGTGGTAAATAAGGCTGGCTTTAGACCTTCATTAGGGAATGATAGATGATCAATACAATTTGCCATTGTTTTTTGTCTAAATGTCTTGACTTCGTGAGAACCAGATGACTGGTTATTCTTGAAACTACAAAGTACATAGCCTGTCAATTGAAGGCCTATTGGTTATCCAGACGATATATGTTATGAAGAGAAGATAATCTGGAGACTCTTTATAAGTAACATTGCTTTTGACTGTTGGAGAAAGTTGGTGGACTGAAAGTTTAACATATTCTTAAAATATAATCTACATGAAAAACTGGAGGCCTCTCTTAGTTATTATAGTTATCAGAGCATTGTATTAAGTTCTTTACCATAAGCTGAAGCTTCTTTCAGGTGCTTTATTTCTCTTGCTTCGCAGGATGCTTATTTATGAGAGTTGAATCATGCTTTTAAGTGTTTCTTCTTTACCGCTCCAATTTGGATTACTTTAGTAGACTGCTGGAGAAGAAACAAACAATTTTACCTTTTTCTTTTTTTCACTTGAAATCAGAACCTTAGTCTGAGACTCTGAGTTGGTTATGTTCTTAGGTACTCCAATTATTTCCTCCTCCTAAATGAATCATCGAACTTCTTTCCCTTTTTTTTTCCCTTTTGAATTATTGTTGATGTATTTTAATATCTAAAAATTATATCCATTAGTTTTATCATCCTTGACAAAATGTTATTGTCTGCATTTCAATTTGCTAAATTCAGTGGCTTAAAGATATATTAACCTATAAATCATCAATTTCACTATGATTTGTGGTCACAACACGGGTGTCAAGTGAAGTTTGATACAGAGCAGACATGGCAAACCCTAAAATTCAGACATGGTGGACACCTCCAAACATCCATATTATATTACATGCATATTATGTGTAACGTAGTATATGGTGCCACTTTTTCATGTAGTACAAGAGCAAAGGACACAGTCCTGTAAAGTATAGTAGAAAATTTGATGTAGGTGGTGTTAGAAGGGTTTGTAAGGGTTAGTTATAATTGATTTTCTCTGTTGAGAAGTTGGGGAAGGTATGGAGTTTTAGGTTTTGCAAAATGGTAAAAGGAAAAGGCTCTGGGGTTGTAGTTGAGTTGGAAAAAACGTAGTACCGGGGAGCATGGACAGTAACCATGAACAAAATAAAAAGGGCTACATTTTGTTGTTCTTGGGTGAAGGATTTGATTGATTGAAAGAGGGAAAGGTTAGGACCTTTCATTAGGATTTTTGAGGGCAGGCAAGGGATTTGCGGGGTTGAGATTTTTAGGGGTGCTAAAGGACAGAAAATTAAAGAGAAGCAGCAGGAAGTAGAAGAAGTTTCTAAAATTCTTTCTTATTACCCCTTATTAGGCATCACATCTAGGAATATACATTATTTAGTCATTGTTTCTATTTCTGCATCACACAAAGTCTCTCAACAAGAAGTAATTTATTCCAATCATAATATGGTACAATTAAATGGATGACATGTTATTTCATAACAATACATTAAACAAATTATGGCACGTACTTAGTCACATACTGTTTCTTTATATCATAATAAGGTCATCATAATAACTAGTAAGATCATACATGTTAAAAATTCTCTCTCAATCCCAGCCCCATAAAATAGGACACTTCCTCTTTTTTCTTTTTCAGCTGATTTGAGCTTTCTTTGTGCTCCGAGCACTCAATTTTGAGGTTGTTACACACTCAGTTCCATTATTGAAGGCATATAAGTGGGCCCCATCTTCAATACCCAATGTGGGAAACAATGAGTAGACCCATGAATTTATCACATCATAGTTTAGGGGGGCTTGATCTATTGGCCATTTGCAAATAACCCTGAGGATATAAATGCATCATGCAACTTCATGGGAGGTTCCATACTTTTTTCCTCTTTTTTCAGTTTTTATTTATTTTTATTATTATTTATCTCTATTGAATCTTAAGGAGTTTGCTCCTACTAGGATTATGACTCTAAATTGAAACTTCAAAGTTGAGTAAGAAAAGTCGAACTTTAGGGGAGCATGAACGGAAAAGACTAGATATGATAGTTTTAAGGTGCAGGAGTTGTTGATTTCAAGAAGGAAATTTTAGAACTTGTCAGATAGGATTAAGGGTGAGGAGGGGTTTCCGTCTTTCCGAGGTTTGTTTTGGCCTCTTAAGGATGCTAAAGGGTAGAAAGTTAAAGAAAAGCAGCATGAGGTAGAAGACGATCCTAAAATTCTTTCTTATGACCCCTTATTAGGCATCATTTTTAGGATTAGATATGCATCGCATAGTTCTGAGGTTGCTTCAATGATTTCTTATCTTTATTGAATTTTAAGGAGTACAATCCTAATAGGAGTACTATAATCTCCTGTCATAATTCATTTTCTCTGTGATTCCACTGACAAAAGAGCTAACCCCGGTTTTCAGGTTACTGCTGGAAAAATGTGGTACCGATAGGAGTCAGATTTCATCCGCAAGAGTGGGAACTCTTCCTCTACCTCCGCTTGAAGGTAGAAGGGAAACCCATTCCTCAGGGAACCATTGCAGAATTGGACATCTATGACTATAGTCCAACTCAACTCAACAGTATCTATGGGGCTGATGTCGAGAACATGTATTTCTTGACCCCGCTTCATAAGCTGGGGTCAAGAATTCAGAGAGAAGCGCTGAACGGAACCTGGAGAAAATTTGGCAGCAAAGAAGTGGTAGATGCCGTAGGAACTGTTGGCTACAAAGGATCTTTTAATTTTGAATGGAAACCACACCATGGGCAGGACAGGTTCCTAATGAAGGAATACACGTTTGCTGAACTCAATGAATGGGCCCTGGTAGAAATCTACCCTGTAAAACAAATCAAGAAACAAAATAGAAACCTTATCTTCAATAATTGGTTTAGGGAAGAAAGCTCCTTGAATGATAGTGGTGATCTTAAATTGTCGCTTTCTCTCCCTTCAAGCGCAACATTGGAGGCCCAAACCTCTGCAGTTGATAAGACCTTGAAGGTATTATCGACTTTTGTTGCTACATATGTTAGAGAGCAATAAGAATGGTTTCGATGTTCCCTAATCTCTATATGTGATTTTTAACAGGCGAAGAACGAGGAAAAAGTTTCGTTCTTGGAGGCCCAAACCTCTGCAGGTGATAAGACCTCAAAGGTAATAATGACTTTTGTTGCTATATTCTGTTGGTTATGTTTGTTGTTTTAGTTTTTCCTGGTGTAGCGTGTTTACGTTTGTGGTTTGGCTGTGTTTGCATATTCCCTAATCTCTGTGTGATTTTGTAACAGGCGAAGAACAAGGAGATGGTTTCTGTCAGAAGGTTGCAAGTACATGACATTGCTACTTTTGTGCTGAATGCTGCAGGGTATTATGAGGCTCAGAACTGCCCTAATTACTTCTTGTCTGAAGCATCAGTTGCTTTACTTGATGACCATCTTCCAATTCGTCCCAGCCTTATCATTCGGGAAGTTGTCAAAATTGAAAAGCAAACCGTCATGCCACTACCTACTATGACTGGAACGAATCGGTTGACCCTGAATTTGGGCTCAACTGTAAACCCATGTGGCCCCTCTACAATAAATCCATATAGTCTCCCGGTTGGCTCTGACTACTTTGTAGTGACAGGATGCATTCATTCGCCGCCGCCTCCTTCATATTGAAGGGTAGATCCAGAGGAACTATGTATATTGTGTATATAGCTTGCCAAAGATAAATACTCGGTGGTGGAACATTTACATGATTCTTAGAATGTTATATTCCTTTTGATTCTGGTATCTGTTGGTATCTGATGTCTTGTTAGTCCCTATGTATGGCTTGCCTTAAAGATGATCAAATTAGGGTCTGAAGGTAGGGTATGAATTGTTGGGGATGATTTGAATTTTGACTCATTTTTTTCTTTGTTTTCAAAATACATTTATGGTTTTCGGAACTCTGCTACATACCCTTCTTTTGGATCTTAATTAGAAAAAAACAAAAAAAAAAAATAGAGAGAATGTCTAATTTAGTAATCTGCCACATTATTACAACTTACAAGATAAATGGAAGGGATTTAAGAAAAGGAAAGAGGAATAGTTACTCACAAAAAAATGAAAGGAAACCAGGTACAGGACAAGTGCCACCACTTAATATCCAAGTGAGATCATGCAGAAAATTAATATACATTCAAACAGAACTTGCTTTAACACCACTAACCTTGCAGCCAGAAGCCTTTTCAGAACAACTGCCCACCCCCACAAGGAAATGGCCTTCCACCAACAATACTCAGCTTTAACATTGGGAAGTACAAATGCCGGTAACCTACATTCTCCTCGCCAAGCCTGACAACCACAAATCGTATCAACTCAATTCTTGTCAGGTATGATAGTCAAGCATGTTTAATACTCTCGAGAACAATCCATTCCCCCCCTTCCTTTTGTTATTAATACAGATCCAAGTCCAGCAACAAGAGTGGCTGATAGAAGGTCCTCTGGGCTAATTTACAACATCATTGCTCTAAAGTTGATGGACCCTTGGATGGCTATTGGAGATTGGAATGTGGTGAGGTTTCATCAAGAAAATATTGGAGGTAAAAGCATCCCTCAAAGGGTAGTTGATGAATTTAATTCAATTCTGGAATCCATTGGGTTGGATGACCTTCCTATGGCTAATGGTACATGGACATGGTTCAATAATCAATATTCTAGGAGGAGAATTTGTACCAATGTTGGTTGGCTACCTTTTGTAACTCCAAGTTATTCCTTACTGCAGCCTCTCTGTCTGATCAGTTTCCTATGGTTGTAACTTGTAAGCTATGATGACTGATGAGAACTGTGCCACTGGTCCTAAGCCCTTCAAGTTCTTGAAGAATTTTGTGCTCCATGGCTGAGGTTGGAGTATATTGTTGATTATGTGTGGAGAGAAAATACTCTCTCTTATAATTCCTATTCACAGATCTATGGAAACATTGAGATTGGTGAAGTATGAAATGAAGGAATGGAACAAGGCTAAAGGTCATACTTCTGATCAGTTGAAGGCTGCGACTAAGAAGCTGGAGAAATTTCAGCTTCAATTGTTGCATAGTCCCATGAAGGAAATGTGTATTGAGGCTGTTAAGGTAGCAACGGAAGAAGTGGAAAATTTATATGCTTGTGTGGAGAAATTGTGGGCTCAGAAAGGATGCAGTGACACGCAGATAATGGTAGATGTTAAAAAAAAAAAAAAAATTTATTCCACAACAAAGTGAAATAGACAAGAGCTGTTAATTCCATTTACTAGACTTGAAACTGAGGAAGAAAGTGTGTCCTCTAATCAGAATTCCATCAGAGCTTGGCTGGTGGAATTCTAGAGAGGTTGTATTCCAAGCCTTCTAACCTATCTTCTAATTTGCAGGAACCTAGAAAATGTCTTGGACTCTATCAGAGGCAAATTACTGGAGAATCCTATTTCTGAAGAAGAAATGAAGGAAGTCGTCATGGGGTTTGCTCCTGACAAGGTTCCTAGTCCAAATGGCACGCCTCCTAGATTATAACAGAGATTTTAGCGGATTATCAAGGATGATTTGATTGCATTTGTCCTACATTTTTTTACATCATCCTCTATGCCTTTGGAATAAATGCTACATTCCTTACAAATAATAGAATCATATGGCATAGAAATTTTGAATTAGAATTGGTGGCACCTCAGCTTAAGGGGTTAAGTTTTTCAATTCAAATCCAAATTGAACCCACCCCCACAAATAATAGAATCATTGTTAGATATGGAATACAGTATAAGCAATTAGAAAGATAAAATTACATAATCAAAGCTTTCAAAGTTTTATACCAAAATTATAAAACAAAGTTTCAAAGTTGACATTGGGAGGGAATTAAAACAAAGGCCATGGTTTTCGACAAGTTGGACATGAATCATTCTTCCACAACCACCCAGAAATGCACCTGGTATGGAAAACATGGGAGCAGGTTGTTCTAGTGATCCTCGTGGCAGTCGTTAATTCATCAAGACAAATCGCGCATTTATCACCCTCAATAAACTCCTCTTCCTCACCCTGCAAGGGTTCAACTTTAACAAACCCTATTGGTTCGTCAATCGCAACGCCTCTTGTCGGAAAATACCCCTTTTCGCCCAAAAATTCTCTTATAATCCACAAATACAACTCCACGTCTACGCTGTAACTATCATATGGATCATCCTCTACTTTCTCCGCATCGTGATCTATCTCGAAATCCGAAAACCCCGACGAGTCCGAGTCAGATCCGGGGTCGTAGTCGTATCCCAGCCTAGGTGGGGTAGGAGGTGACATCGACGCTATAGGAGAAAGATTGAGATCGATGTCGGTGTGATCAACGGTTCGGATTCGATAAATTTCAGTCACGATCACAATTTTGGGCAAATTGGGGCCAAGAATATTCTTGGTGCAAAAATTGTAATTTTTGAGAAGATAGTCTGAGATTTCATCGCCTAATGGTAGAATGGTCTCTGGTAGGAACTGTTTGGTGGCCGAGAGAACGGTGTGAGGCAGTGACTTGATGGAATGGTGAGAGAGCAACCCTTTGACATCGAATCGTATTGCTCTCCGTAACCTGTCATCTTTGATTTCGATATCGGTATCGCGGTGGATGGTAGTGAATTTGCTGGTGATGAAGTAGACCAACAGACCTTCAGACTCAGATATTCTGTTCTTGCGAAGCTTTTCGTTCCACCGGAACACACGCACTCTTCTGCAGTGAGCTTCTTCCTTCACAATCACCATCTTCCACTCTCTCTACTTCGCATATACTGTAGATAAAATATGACACTCGGAAGGTCGAACCCTGGAATATAAGCCCAACTACTCATGTTTATAGGGTCGAAATCACGAAGTTACTCCGAAACTTGAGACTTAAGAGTTGGAGGGAAACTAGGATTTTATTAAGTGTGACTTGGGAATTAAGAAATACAGTAATTTCTTTGACTTGGGAATTAAGATTTTATTAAGTCTGACTTTATCTACCTGAATTGAAAATTTTATTTAATACAGTAATTTATTTGACTTGGGAATTAAGAAACACGGTCAGCCTTGTTAACTTTTATTTTTGCATACGCAGCATTAATCGTTATCCAAGTTTTTGGTTTTATCTAATAGTGTAGAATATGTCTGACAATCATAATTATTTTGTGTTTTTATTTTGACCCGAAACATAAGTAATGCTTCTGCTTTTAAAGTGTGTCCATTACTATTTAAAATTTTGTTCGGTAACATAAATTTATTACAAGATTTTTAGAAGTAAAAATATAAAAGCATGTTTGGTAAAAAGTATTGTAAGTTTGAATGGTTAGTTAAAAATATTATTTTAGAATTTTTTCTTTTTTTTTTTGAACAATGCTTTGCTGCAGTGCGGAATTAAATAAAAGCATCATTTTGATGCTTCCGATTTTGGCTTCAATTTTGGAAGCACTTCGGTACTATTCAAAAGCACATCAAATATTACCAAACATACTTCGTACTTTTGTTTCGCTACAATACACTAGCAAAAGCAAAAGAATACGAAACAAAAGTACTAGCCAAACAGGCCTAGTATTTTCTTCTGGTTTTTGAATGAATTTTCAAAATAAAAATGTACAAATGTACATGGAATAATTGATTACTTATAAGTCTTTCTACGTCTCAAAATAAGTATTTCTTTTTTAAACTCTAACTTTAAAAAAAAAAATTATTATTATTATTATTTTATTATATTAGTATTAAATGAATTTTCAAATTTATTCCTAAGTGATGTGATAGTTTATTTTTTATAGGTTCAATGAGAGAAGGTATTACAAAAATAGTACATTGACTTTTTAAATGAAACATTTATTTTGGGACCTATAAAAGTAGTACAAATTTTTCTCTAAAGAGCATTTTCTTTCCTAATAAGTTTCAAATTTATCCTTTCAATATTTAAATATTTGCGTTGAAACTAAAGTATGATTTTGGACCAATTAAAATTTTGTAAGATTACTTTTCTTTTATACACACACATACATGTGTGTGTGTGTGAATGAAGCATTTGTTTTGAATTGCACTACAGAGCGAGCTTATTTTATACGGACAGGAATACATCTGTGGCACAAATTAGTTATAGATAATAGCTACTTGTCTTCAGAGCATCTCCAATGCATAAAGCTATTTGTGCATGCCAAATCTATATTTTGAAAAGTGCTACAGTATTAAAATAATATATTTTAGCAATTCTACTCCAATGGTGCGTTATTATTTTTTAACACAACCACCATTTTTTTTTCAACAATTATTCCCAATTTCCATTTTCAACCACCATTATTTTTCCATTGCAAATATAGATAGAGATGGACAGAGGAAACATAGATAGAGGAAACAAACTCCACAGACCCAGAAACAAACAAATTGATGAGAGAAAAAGAAAGAAGCTGATCATCATCGCCAGTCGAGGGAGCCACGATCGAGGGACCCAGAAACAAACAAACTCCGGTCGATTTTTTATCATCATTGCCGCCGCCTTCTTCACCGGAGCTCATACCACGACCCAGAACGACGACGACGGCGACGGCGGAGGGAACCACGATCGGACAACCCAGAACCACGATCAGACCACCCAGAACCACGATCAGACCACCCAGAACCACGGCTGAGCAGCACCTTGGAGTCATGCAGTGGGCCCAGATCGTCGAATCCGCCGCTGAAGTTTAGAATCCGGTAACGGCAAAGGAAGAAACAAGTGTTGCAGATGAGAGGGAAAGAGAGACGACAGAGTTAGCGATATCGAGGGACAGGGAAAGCAACAGGGGATTGAGGGAGATAGGAAGACGTTGCAGATGAGAGGGAGCGAGAGACGTAGCGATATTGAGGGACAGAGATAGTGGTATTTGAAGGATTGAGGGAGATAGGAATAAATGGTGTCATTGGGCCATTAAACAGACTTGCCAAAAAAAATTGGCAGCTCTCACGTGTGAGAGAAAATTTGAGATTTTCAAATTTTGAGAGACCAAATGAAAGGCTATTGGAGAGTCTTTTTTTACCCATCTCTCAAATTATGAGTTTGAGAGCTCAAAATAGAAGAGCATTGGATATACTCGCAAGGTCAAATTGGACTGAACACTAATTTCCGGGAGAAAAACGAATTGCACTAAACACTTTTGAATTATTAAGGGCCTTTTTTTTTTTTTCTTTTTTCCCGAAAATTGAACTTTTTAAGTTGTTGCGATGTACATTCTTGAACTATTAAATATATTGAACCTTGAAGCAAATGACTATAAAAGAAAATGAGTATATCATTGCCCACCAAAAATCAGACCATAAAAGAAAGAAAAATGATAGGCAATTAGAAGACAGCCTGAGAGATGAAGTTTGTAAAAAAAAAATTCTAAAAAATTAGCAAAGATTAAAAGAAAGGATGAGTTAATAATTAACGCAAGTTGTTTAGAGGTAGAATAAAAGAAAATACACTTTAGTAATAGACTCTTAGATCCCCCTTCATAAAAGAAATAAAAAGTAATAAAAATAGTTGGCAAAGAAAATGAGAGATTAAGAGGGAGGGTCAAAAACTAACATTTAAGTTCCCTTGGTTAACATGAAGCAAATAGAAAGAAAAAATATATATAAATAGAAAATATTTAAATTTGTAATTATTTTAAATAATTAAATATAATTGGCAAAATAACTTGTGATAAAATAAAATGCAGAAATAACAATATAAAAATTAATTCAATCACCACTGACGAGAAATTGCATTGTGATAAATGCATTTTTAAATAAAACAACAAATTCACTCCTAAAACAAGAAATTCACTTCAAGGACTTAATGTCTTCTGCTATGGAGCCAGCATGGGCCCAGTGGCAGTGCTCTTTGCCCATCATGCTAGCCTATTAGTAACTTTTTCTTTTTGTACGTTTAATAAGTTATACAAAATGCCTCTTTAAGCTCGGTTGAAGGGTCTTAAGGAAGATGTCGAGGGGTATGATCCGGTTCTTTGTTATCAGTTGGAACTTGAACTTGGTCTGGCTTGGCGGGATGAGGAGCTCTTCTGGTTACAAAAATCTAGGGTTGCTTGGTTGAAGCATGGGGATCGCAATACCAAATTTTTCCATAGGAAGGCCAAAATTCGTCATCGGAAAAATTTGATTCTGGGGTTAGAGGATGCGGTTGGTGTTTGGCACGATTCAAAGGACGTCATTCGTCGGGTGGCCGAAGATTATTTTCTTTCTATTTTCACCTCCATTCCAGATCAGGATGATTCTGCATTTTGGAGTTCAATCCAGTCTTGTGTTTCTCCGGTTATGAATAGTGCTTTACTTCAAGAGGGTACGGTTGAGGAGCTGCGAGAAGCTTTGGTCGGTATAAGTCCGTACAAGGCTCCAGGGCCGGACGGGTTTACTCCATTATTTTTTCAATCTAATTGGGAGTTGCTGAAGGATGATCTTCTGAAGGGTTTTAATTCTTTTATCCAAGGGGGGCTGCTTCCGAGGGGTATGAATTCTACTCATATTGATTTAATCCCTAAGGTGTTTCACCCAACGGTCATGTCTAATTTTAGGCCCATCTCTCTTTGCAACGTGTCGTATAAAATTTTTTCCAAGGCCCTGGCTAACCGGTTGAAGGCATTTCTTCCTCTTATCATCAGTGAATCTCAGAGTGCTTTCGTCCTTCACCGTCTTATTCATGATAATATCCTTTTAGCCTATGATTTAATGCATGTTCTGAAGCGTAAAAAGAATGGCGATTCTGGCTTTCTTGCTCTGAAGTTGGATATGGCGAAGGCTTATGATCGAGTGAGTTGGTCGTTCTTATGCAAGTTTATGACTCATTTGGGTTTTGCTGATCGATGGGTTTCGTTGATGCTGGAATGTATTAGTTCTGTGTCTTTTTCTGTGCTTATTAATGGCGAACGTGGCGTTTGTTTCTCCTTATTTAGGGGTCTTCGTCAAGGTGACCCGCTTTCGCCTTTTCTTTTCTTGTTCTGCTCCAAGGGTCTTTCCCGCCTTTTCTATGAGTATGAAAGAAAAAAAAAAAAAAAAAACAGCTTTTGGGGCTCCGTATGGGGTGTGGGTGTCCTCCAATTTCTCACCTCTTATTCGCGGATGATGCTTTGATTTTTTGTCGCGCTAGGAATCCTGAGGTGCAACGTGTCAAATCTATTTTGGACCGTTACGAAGCTCTCACCAGCCAGCTCATTAGTTTGAAAAAATCTTGTTTATTTTTTTTGCCTAATACTTAGGTTTCTCAGAAGGATCTTTGTCGGTCTATTCTCGGCATCTTGACAGTGGACTGGTCTAATAAGTATTTAGGTCTTCCTTTTATGGTAGGCCGATTGAAAACGTCAGCTTTAAATTTTATTTCTCAGAAAGTGTCCAAAAAGATCTCTTCTCTAAAAGGTTGTTTGTTGTCTAAGGCGGGTAAAGAAATCATGGTGAAAACAGTTCTTGCTGCCCTTCCTACTTTTTCTATGCACTGCTTACAGCTTCCCAAAAAGAATTGTCAGATGTTGTCTAGTTTTTTCCTTAATTTTTGGTGGAGTGGGTTGGAAAAATCCAACAAAATTAAGTGGATCAGTTGGGACGCTTTATGCCAATCCATGGAGGTTGGGGGTTTGGGTTTTAAAAATATGGAGGCTTTTAATTTAGCTCTTCTTGCTAAATTAGCCTGGCGGATGGAAATAGACGATGAGTCTCTTTTGTTCAGATCTTTTAAACAGAAGTACTTCAAATATTGTTCTTTTGTGGAGGCTTCTAATCGTCCCTCTGCGTCTTGGGTTTGGAAGAGTGTTTTATCGGCTCGGGAAGTCATTCGAAAGGGTTTAAAGTGGCAAATCGGGGATGGTTCTAGTGTTCAGTGTTGGAAAGATAATTGGCTCCCCGATCTTCAGAACTCTTCAGTTACATCTTCTCCAATTGGGCCTTCTGTTTCTTTAGTTGCTGATCTTATCAATCATGACATTCACAAGTAGAATTTGGATCTAGTTTCACGATCTTTTAATAAACGTGACTGTGATCTCATCTTGCAAATTCCTCTTAGTTTTCAGGGTGGTTCGGATTGCAAGATTTGGGGGGCCTCCAAGGATAGCCGTTTCTCGGTTCAGAACACATATTTAGTGGCTTCTTCTCTTCTTTCTTCTAACCCTTCTAGGCCTTGTATTGAAGGGAGTAGCTTCACTGCGGGATGGAGTGTTATGTGGCGAAATGTTGGCTCGGTCCGGGCTCCTCGGAAGATTTAGCTTTTTTTGTGGCAGAGTCTTCATAATCGCATTCCAGTTAATGAGCATCTGTTTTTTCGGGGTGCGTTGGTCTCTCCTTGTTACCCGGTTTGTGAAAAGGGGGTGGAAACAGTGGACCATCTGTTGTGTTTTTGCCCTTTTGCGATTTTGGTGTGGAAGCTTTGCCCTTTACGTATTGATTTCAGTGGGTTGTCTCCTTCTTTTTGGCCGAAGCGATAGGTTTCTCTTTGTGATAAGTGGGCTGATTCAGGGGCGGCGACAGATTGTTCTAGCCTTGCAGCTTTTGTTTGCTGGACTTTGTGGAAGTGTCGGAATGATTTTGTGTTTAATCGAAAGAAGTGGGATCCGTTCGAGGCTAGCCTCAAAGCTCTTTACGCTTTTCAAGAGTTTCAAGGGATTGGGAGTCCAGCCCAGATTTGCATTCTTCCATCTTCTTCTGGTTCGTTTCCACCGGCGAAGTGGACGGCCTCGGAGTTGGGTTTTATTAAGCTTAATTTTGATGCTTCATTTTCTCAATCTCGCCGATTATGTGGGGGGGAGGGGGAGGGGTTTGATCCTTCGGAACCATCTTGGTTATCCAATTAAAATTGTTACGGTGTTCTTTCCTCATGTTTATTCTCCATCCATGGTTGAAGGTTTGGTTCTACGCGCTGCTATGGTGTTGCTCAAGGTGTGGGGTTATCATCAGGTGGTGGTTGAAGGGGATTGTCGTCCTGTTATGCGTTTGCAGGCTTCACTGGCTGAGTTGCAGGTGGTTTTTAATGACGTTTCCTCCCTCCTTCTTGATTGTTTGGGTTCGTCTCTGGCTTGGGTTCCTCGTGGAGGCAATTCTGTAACTCATTTGTTGAGTAAGTTTGCCTTGAAAGCCGAATGTAGTGTTTTAGATTGGAGCATTTGGCCCTCGTGGCTGTGTAGTGCTCTCTTTCCTGACTATTGTATTTCTCATGTGGTTTGTTAGTGTTGTTCAGTTTGGTTAAAAAAAATGCCTCTTTAAAATTATTTTTTTCAAAGCTGCCCTTGGACAATGCTGACCCATTAAAATATATTTTACATTTTATGCATATAATATATATGAAATGACAAATTAGTAATTTTTCAAAAAATCTTTCTAATTCTTTCTCTTTTTTCCCTTCTTACTCTTCTTATTCATTTTTTTTTTCTTCTCTTCAAAAAAAAAAAAATAATAAAAATTAAATAAATAAATAAAAATTGCATTTCCTTTCTTCAATCAAATTTCAATTTTTTTTTTTCTTTTACTAAAAAAATTTATTTTATCACGTGTAATATTGTTCCCCCTGAATTAAATTTTCGATGTTCCTAAATGCTCTTGCTACTAAAAACCTAACCTCAAATATATGAAGATGCATATCAATTCAGAAATTAATGATTTTTAAGTGTAGGTTTTAGACTAACTACTATTTTAGGTGCTATTTAATAAAATTGAAAATCAAGTACTAAATTTTTTAAGAGTTGAAATTTAAGCATTGAGGTTTTAAAGTGGTAATTAAAAATAAATAATATTTTTTTTGATATCTTTTTGAATTTTCAATGTTTAGATATTCCTATCACTTAAAAATTTACTCCACTTTAAGTGATACTTTATCATTTTCAGTAATATTCAAATTATGTTACTAAACGCTGAAACCGTTTGGAATTAAATTACTTTCTTTGCCCCAAAATAGTTGAGTTGGAGTCATAATTTTCAAAATACCCAATTATTTTGAGAGGAATGGAGTATCAAACAACACACCTTACTCTTGTAATGAATTGGGCTTACAAAGGTTAAGATTGGGATTAAACAAATTGATTGGGGTTGGAAGGATACAGCAGCACGGATAGGTCAAGTTGGGCCGCAAACGGTTCGGGTTGCATTAGAACAAACCAAACACCGCCAGAAGAAGCACGTGAACAGAACTTTCCCTTCTCTTTCTCAATCAAACCCCATGCCTATATATTTCATGCCAAAAACAGATTAACCCCCGAATTTACAAAACAAACCCACACACTCTCTCTCTCTCTAAACTCATTACTCTCTGAAGTCTGAACTTCAACGTTGGTGAAAATTTTGTCAAGGCTACAGTCACGCACAATGGGTCGAACTAAGAGAAAATTGAACTCACCCAATTCAGATTCCGTCAAATTATCCCATGTTGATCACGGCCGTTCTTGTAAGCAATCCTTCTTACACATTCAAAGTGTAATTTAGTTTTCAGTAGTATAGGTTTTTATTGGCTTTAGAGAATTAAAACTGTGCTGTTTTCCAAGATTGTTCATTTTCCGTAGGGATTGTATTCTTTTTTGCTTGAAGGGTTGGGTTTAGTTGGGTCCTGTTCTTGAATTATGTTCCTTTCTTTCATTGCGTTTAAAGAAAAGATATTGATTGTCACTTGTTCAGATGATTTTTGAAGTTTGTGCTATTATTAACAAAATTTGTTGTTTTGAGGCTTCTGCATGCATTGCCTTGTTCTTGGCTCTTTAATATGGATTGATATTAATTAGGCCCATGTTCTTGAATTGGATTTTGATTTCTGAATTCTAGTATAGAAATATTATTCTTTTTCCTTTTCTTTTTTTATTGATGGCTGATAAACGATTTTGATTTTTTTAGGGAAAGGCATTAGTTTGATGGTTTATGTGTTCATGTTATTTATTTCTTTTTTGGTTATCCAATATAACACTTCAATCGGTTTTCATTTTGAATTCTTGTAAAGAAAGATATGGATGTCAATAGAAGGGTTTTCAAGTTTGGGTTTTGGATGATAAAATGTTGATATTGTCATTAATGTGAGCATAATTTCCTTTTGGCTCTTTGATATGGATCTCTCCTTTTGAGTTTATATATTTGAAAGGGTAGGTTATGAATTGGTGGGTGTGGTTTTGAATTTTGATTTGTTTTTTTTTCCTTTCAAAATACATTTATGATTTTCAGAACTCTGCTACATACCCTTCTTCTGGATCTTAACCAGATAAAATATATAAGGAAAATGCCATAAAAAACTTAGTGGAGGAGATTAGGAGAATAGAGGCCCAAGCTTTCCACTGTTTGACGCATCATAGCTTCAGGTGTCTTGAGGAATGGTATTAGTTTTGTGGTCATTGATGGTGCACAGGTGGTAAATAAGGCTGGCTTTAGACTTTCTCTAGGGAATGATAGATGATTAATACAATTTGCCATTGCTTTTTATCTAGATGTCTTGACTTCGTGAGAACCAGATGACTGGTTATTCTTGAAACTACAAAGTACATAGCCTATTGGTTAATACAATTGAAGGCCTATTGGTTATCCAGATGATATATGTTATGAAGAGAAGATAATCTGGAGACTCTTAATAAGTAACATTGCTTTTGACTGCTGGAGAAAGTTGGTGGACTGAAAGTTAACACATTCTTAAAATATAATCTACATGAAAAACTGTAGGCCTCTCTTAGTTATTATAGTTATCAGAGCATTGTATTAAGTTCTTTACTATGAGCTGAAGCTTCTTTCAGGTGCTTTATTTCTCTTGCTTCTCAGGATGCTCATTAATGATAATTGAATTATGCTTTAAGTTTGTTTAAATGCATTTGTGTCTGAGTATGAAAATCTAATACTGTACAAGGTCTATATGATGAAGATGTTGTTTTAATGGCTAACGATTTGTTTAAATATAAATATATATATATATATATATATATATATATATATATATATATATATATATTTGTTTTTCCTCTACCTTTTTGGCAAGCCCAACATGGTTTATATTTGTATTTAGTGACCTCAAAACCCTTAGCCAACTTTCTTGGCAACTTAAACATTGGTTTAGGTTTTACCGGAATGGATAAGCGATTTACTATTATTTAATACTATCATCAAACTAAGTTAATGATTATGGTGGTACCACAAGGCCAACCAGACAACGAGGTTGTGCAAAGCTGAAGAGACTTATCCAATGGTCACTGCTAACCACTTTTGAAATTGTTGCACCAGCAGATCAACAACTGCATTTTTTCCCATTAAATGTGCAATTGTAATATTATATTTTCTCTATATAATGCTACAAACCCTGATTGCACGTGCAATAATGTGGTTATTTTCTGTAATTATCAGTTTTATTATACTGAAATGATTTATCTGGAGATTGCATTCTCTATGGCTTTTTGGGTTGAATAGATACATCATCTACATGAACATTGGTTGAGCTGAGTTGTAAAGCAAAATTTTACTTCGAGAATCTTTTTTTTATTTTTTTTAAAATATGGAGAAAAAATTCTATGTAAAACATAATTTAAAAAAAATTATTTATGGAGAAAATTTTCTATGTTAAACACAATTTGATTGTATTGGTACTGATATGGACTTACATCATATGATATTATGTTTTCCAGCCTCAAAAAGAGCTACAGTGAAAATGGTGAAATGTGAAGATAACCCCCTTTTCTATTCATATGCAAACAGGTCGTTAGGCATGATCGAGTAAGTATATTTTATTTTAATATACAATCTTTGTCATTTTGTTGGTGTTTGCATCACTGACAAAAAAACTAAATTGTACTGAATTCCCCAATAGTAGTTGCTCTGTGTTTTGTCATTGGATATTGCCTGTAAATTATTCATCAATATTCTTGTTGTTAATCGGAAAACCTGATCTGGTATTTGTTTCCCTGGCATATTGGGATGCTAATAGAAGTAATGCAGACGAATGGTTGGTTTTCAAATTTTATTTGTCTTCCGTAGAGTCCCCACATATACTCAGGGGAAAATGAAAATAACTTCACATCTTATGAATATATTTATGATTGTTATTTCTAATAAATTTACTTTAGCAACAGTAGCATGTGGGGAAAAATGAGAGAGATGAAAAAGATAAGAAGAGATAAAGCTATTGTAGCACAGTGGCAAAATGCTGGCAAGGCATCACATAAAAGGGCTGACGCTAAGGGTTTGATTCTTAAAAAATAAAGAATACGAAGAATGTAGTCTTTGCATCTAACGTTGGAATAATGAACACTGCACTATAAATATCTTATATATACTTCTAGATTTTATTAATTTACTTTTTCATTTTCTTTTAGTGTCTTTTTTGTCATATTTCCTTTTCCTATGATGAATCTAAAACCCCGGAGTCTATCTTTCCAAGGGTCGAAGCAAGAAAGACACTTCGAATATTTTTCTATATATATATATTTTTATGTTAGAAAAATGTCGAATGTCCTATTTTTTCCTTAAATTCAGTACCCAATACAATCAATAAAATAAATAGGAGACTGGAAATGAAACTATTTTTCTCCCATCCGTTCTCCATAACATTGTAGGAACAAAACAGCAAGAGAAGCAGTTGGGTTTCTGATAAAATCTAGGAAGTCAAATGGATAGATCAAGCTAGAAACCTTTTAGAAAACGAAATGTACAACATAAGACAACAGGGAACAAAGGAGCAATTTTAATAAAACGAAAGGTTATGTGATACTGCTTGGGTTTCAGCACCTTTTCATAAGAAGTAACATGTGTCAGCACTTGGGAACCCAGGCTTCTGTTTTAGTATTATTGGGATGGTCGTTAGGCAACTACATAAGGTGAAATATCCTTTTGATAGAAGTTTCGTCATTGCGAGACCAAACTATAAATAATTCTTTTGTTTTTTGGGTAATGAAACTAGAAATAATATTATTTGTAAAAAAAGGCTACTGGGGCAAGCACCTGAAGTGCCTCCCACAATGACTGAGGTGCCCAGTTGCCTCGACGTAGTGGAGTCATGACTCTAATAGCGTATTTGTCTTGCCTTTGGTACCTTTGGGGCAACTGCAGAAACTTCAAATATACATTTTGTATTAAGCTCTCATGAACAAATTAGCTGCTTTAAGTAGAAGCCATTGTCATATGTAGGTTCTTATTATTCCATTTGATTAAGCGATGATACCCTACGAGCCTTGATGATGTATGTAGAAGCAAATTGGACAGTGAGTTGACGGGCGTTTATGAGGTTGATACAACTTTCTAACCATATGTTACAGCTAGGAATATAAAACTTCTTATGCTTTTGCTTGCTTGTACAGTCCCGAAGGAATTGAAGCACTTTGTTCGGATTTGGGAGTGGATCACACGGATGTCAGGATATTGATGCTTGCCTGGTATGTTTTGTTGTTGACTTGCAATATAACTGATCCCAGTTTTAATTTTAATCTCTCTTAATTCTGCAATAAGAACTGATCGTCCACGTATACCAGGAAAATGAATGCTGAAAAGCAGGGGTACTTTTCTCTGGTAAGCCACTGCTATGTTCATTTGACAATGATTAGGGCATGTGTTAGATGACATCATCATCATCAGCATATAATGTCTAATATATTATTATTTAAATTGATTGCTATCTATCTAAATTGATTTATGATTTTTTAGAAGTAAATTATTTGGTTTGCTGTAAAATTAATTGTCAAATATCTGTGCTATTATGTAAGTGGGTATTGTTTCTTGCCTCAAATAAAAAGGCATATTTATTCATACTTCCATGATGCTCCTATACTTGCTTTGCATATGTACTGTATAAACAGATCAATAGGCCTTTAAGGTGTTTATTTTGATTTATGTTCTCCCCCATTTGTATGGGATAATGGCAAGGATGATGATGATTGTGATTCATATTCTCCATTTTATGGGATTTTTTACTTCTGGAAAAAAATTATGATCTTACGTTCATTATTTGGAGACTTTTTAACACCCTTCAATGGTGGTGAAGTATAATCTCAAGTATAATCTCACTTATCCCAGCTGTCCCAAGGAGAGTAGAAACTAGAAATTTGATAGTTATACAATATTGTGGTCTTCACGAAACTAATCCATGTATGTGCATGAGGATGGACCGGATGGTCAATTCAATCTGCCATGAATATATAGAAATCTGGAGATCCTCTTCCAGTATAATAATTCTGATGTGATATCATTTATTTTCTGTCTAGATATTCACTTGTTTTTCTCTTTACGTTAATTTCATTAACTATTTTATTGATTGATTTTTTTTTATACTGCGATCATTTTTGCTTTTGCATTACTACCAGCTGGAGTGGTATCTCCAGCCACCACCATGGGGGGAGGTGCAGTCCCAGTTTGGACATGTGTGCTTAAGTATTCTTACTGGAAATTAGAAAGAAAAAAAAAATTCTAAATCTTGCATTACTATAGGGGACTACTGAAGGATGAGTTCTTTGCCTTTACTTTTGTACCTATCTATTGAATTATGCTGTTGGTAGACAGTCCTAGGATCAACAGCTAGGGAACTTAATTTTTTTTTTTTCCATGGTATTTTAAATTACATAACGTATTCTTATCAGCATGAGTGGCGAAAAGGTCTGAAAGCTCTTCAAGTTGACTCTATCAGGAAATTAAAGAAAGCACTCCCAGAACTGGAGAAAGAGGTACTTTTCTGCTTTCTTATGGTATATTCATCAAACTTGTCCTGTACATGACAATGAAGGCTTCTTAATGGTGACACAAGTAATATTTTTCTTGTCTTTTGAAAAGGTCAGGATGCATCAAAATTTTGAGGAATTTTATGCTTATGCATTTCGATACTCCCTAACAGGTAAACTTAGACTTGGCAGGCATGTTCTTTAACTTCAAAGAAGTGAAGCCTTTTGTTCCATGACAATATAATGTTTTTCCTTGAGTTTTATTATTTGCCATTTATTAAAATTGGTTAATCATTGTTAAACTCTTTCAGAAGAGAAGCAGAAGTATATAGACATTGAGAGCATCTGTGAACTGCTAAATCTTGTTTTAGGATCTCAATTCAGGCCCCAGGTTGATAAATTCACCGAGTATCTAAAGGTGGGACCTCTTATATCTCATTTATCGTATAAGGCTACCTTGTTTCTGATTGTCCAAGCACTTTCCATCTCCTTCTTACATACAATTGGAGAGCATAATCATCCTTTTGGATCCTGATGAAAATCTTTATATTTGAAATTTTTTTGCACGGTCTGATTGTGACATTTTGACTTGATTTTAATAGGTCCAGAATGAATATAAGATGATAAACATTGATCAGTGGAAAGGCTTTCTGCGATTTTGCAGCGAGGTATCCTGGTTTAACATTATCATATCACTTAGAATCCTTCTTTTTGTGTCAAATTTTTTATTTATTTTTTATTTTTTATTTTTTCCAGCTTTAGATTAGACCAATTGATAAAATAGGAAGAGGATTTATATGATCTGTACAGTGGTCCCTATTGGATGAATTGGATGAAGTGTTGCTTGGCCAAATATCGTCCTGTTTTCTATCTACGTAGTATTAATTTTTTGGCACTACTCTTTCAAGTTATAATCATGCTTTTGTATTTGGATGCAAGTGTAGGATGGAAAATAAGACAAACCCCTCGTATATAAGCACTTGTAACTTGTGTTGATCATCTGCACATATAGAAAGGAACATCGGTCATAAGTAGTTGTGATTGTCTCTTTTGTCCACAAAGCTCCCATTAGATTTTTATTTTGTTGGTGCACCTCTAGAATTGCTAAAATCATCATTTGCTTTTTGGGGGATTTCTGAGACCATCAGAAATAAAAGGACAAAACCCCTGCATCCAGGGGGAAGATGTCATTTGACCTTCTAATTACATCTTGATCCATGAGAAGAGAGGAAACCTTAAAAATGAAAAAAGAAGAAGAGAGGAAACCTTAAAAACGAAAAAGAAGAAGAAGATACTTGACAGATCTCCATGCAAAGAATGCACAAAAGGGGGAAGGTTAATACAGGGAAAGTCTCTTGTTCATACATATGTTTGTGTTTGGCCAGAAAGGTTATATATCTTGAGTTGTATATATTGAAATAGCATTAATTGACATGCTTGTGTGCCAGATGAGATGTTATTGACAGAAATGTGTATATGGCACTACGTTTGGATGAAATTATTTGCTTGGATGTATGATTTGCCTTACTTTGAGCCTTTTTCAATTGCAATCATAAATTATTTATTTTTTCTATTCTCTCTTTCACAGATAAGTTTCCCGGACCTTCAAAACTATGATCTAAGTGAAGCTTGGCCTTCGATTCTAGACAATTTTGTTGAATGGATGAGAGAGGAAAAGCACAGCTAGCCTCAAAATAACTATTAATTGAACGGCTGATCTGACAAGGTAATAATAATTGATACTTGATATCCCCATTTTTCTTCCCTTTCTTTGCTTTTTCCTTTCTTCTATTTTCTTTTTCTTTTTTGGGATTATAGTTACCTCACTTGGAATCTGAACAAAATCGAATGTTGGAAATTGGATCTGCAATCGTAACCAACTTTGTTGTGATTGACCTGTTCGCAAGAATGTGTGGATACAATCGTTAAACTTCCAGACAGCAGGCTGACTTTATTGAGATTACTTTGATGGAGTCCTCTCCCATGTCATTGTTTTGCAATGTTTACTTTTTTGGATTTTCTTTTTGGTTTATTTGGTTCTCCTCTCTCTCTCTTCCTTTGTTGACAGTTCAAGGAAAATCCATTCATTTTGACATAGAAAAGAAACATACTGCAGTTATATAAAAGTGGTTGGAAAGTCAAGAATGTATAGAGCTATACCAATGATCAAGGACAGAGAAATGGAAAATATGTGCTCTATTTTACATTCTGAATGTCACTTTCTTTGTGTTGATAGTCTCAGCTTCCATGCGGGCTTTGTCGAGGTCTCATGGTAGATTGTCATTGTGGGTGGTGATTTGTTAGTTCGTTCATTATCAAAGTGAGAGAAACCTATGCGTATGGCATGTATCAATCATTATGTTACATTGATAGTGTTTTATGTTCTTTCCTGGCTGTTGTCCAATTTTACCTTATTACTCTCGATTTAAGTGACATCCTTGCACCTATTTTTGGCCCTTGTGAAAATTAAACATTCATCTTTCACTTTGGAAGGTAAAAGATATACTACTAAAGCTATAATTGGTGTGTGTGAGTGAAGTTTTATATTTTTTTTATTTGAAACACACAAACTTTGCCCGTCGTGCACTTTGAAATCTTGACCTTTTACTTTTGAAGTAAATAAGTACTACAAAGTTGTAAACTTTTATACTTCTATAATTCTATTAAGTAAATTTTAGCAGGCACAAATAACTAATGAGTCATAAATTAGTGCAATGCTAAAAGTTCCAGTTAACAAGCATATATAATCTCAAATTAGAATGGAATGTCCTGGTTTCATTTTTGGGGCACAGAAGAAGCACAACATCACCTATCATGCATATATTTTTTCGCTACGACATTTTATTGAAAGAACAAAAAGAACAGGAGCTTAATACAACACCATAAATGCATACCCCTTCAACCAGGAAACAAAAAAAAAAAAAGGGGGCTATAAACCAACTATATTCTTATCTACAAAAGCAGAAACATTGACAAAGGACAGATTAGCTGCTTGTTAACTGATGAAGGCACCTGCAATTGAAAGAGCTCCGATCCATTTCTTTTCTCAATGCATCCAAAGCTTGGAAGCTGCACAACATCAATCACAAGGAAAAACATTAATTAGTAAAAGCTATGAAATGAAAATATGTATGTATAAAGTACTGTGCATACATGCATACATGCATATACATAACTCCTCAGCACAAAAAAAAACATAATTTCCTGAGCTAGTTAAGTTATAGTTTACCTTGTCTAGAAATTTTCCACTCATGATCACCATTGACAGCCCAAAAGAAATAACCACCAAGATGATGGGACTGAGCAAATCCAATCTTCACTGATGTGGATCTGGCATCATCGTATCCAATCCATGATGTCCCCGCAACAGAATATACAGACACGGTGTCTGCATCATAAACCACGGTGGCATTGTTCTCCTTATTGAAGTTCTCCACTTGGGAGTACGTCATTGTTCCAAGGTCTCCAGGGCCCACACCAACGGCAGGCGCCCCGATACCGTGTGATCTAGGGTCCTTGAGCTGCCACGTCCTCCCGTAGAGTGGCAGGCCCATGATCAACTTCTTTCGATGGAGTCCAGCCTTGATCCATGACCCAAGTCCATAACTTGTGCTTATATTACTATTTGGATCAAACAATGCAGCTTGGGCCCCCGTGACCGAAGTGTTCCATGAACCGTGGTAGTCATAGCACATGGCATTGACCAAGTCCAAGTTCTCACTCAGTGAAGCCACGGGGTAAGCCCGGTAGACATCGTCGAGGAAGAAGTCCGAGGAGAAGTACACGGCTGCTCCGAGCAAGAGCGGAGATTGGGCTGTGGCCTTAGCCTCCTTTCGGACCTCGGCCCGCCATTCTTTGAGTAAGTGGCCCAAATGTTCCATATCTGTTGTGGTTTTAGGAAATTCCCAATCAAGGTCAATGCCATCAAAACCGAATTTTCTTGCCACTTGTATGGTTGAATCAATGAAATTCTTACGGGAGGAAGGAGTTGATACCATGCGCGAAAAGATTAAGGGGCCTTCGCCTCCTCCTCCGATGGAGAATAGGGTTTTCACCGGCGGATTCTTTGCATGAAGGGTTGATGTGAAGCTGAGGAGCATTGTAGCTACTGAATTTGATATGTCAAACTTAAAGGTGACATTGTTAGGTGTTAGGAATGCGTAGTAGATGTGGGTGAACAACGATGTATCGATGTCGGATGGCGACAAATTTGAGCTCCACGAAGGCCAATAAGCACCTTTGATCGCCTGAGACGAGGATGAGGCCATGGCAGGGTTAGTGGTAAGGCTCAAGATGACAAAGATGCAGAGAAAGTAAGCTTCGAGGCCCTTCATACTTGGAATTTTGGGATATGATATTACTATAGCTTTTGTGTAGAGATATATAGAGGAAATGTAGAGAAAGCCTTTGTTCAGTAGGGCATATGACTTTGTCTAATATGAAGTTCTGGATAGTTGTGTTTATCTTCCCCTATCTATATAGGACGTAGGGTCTAGATTCCAAGGGTTAAATATGGAGGCTATTTTTGGGGTTTAGTTGAACTTGAATGGTACAAAAGGAAAAAGGTTGTCTTGACCAGTACAAAGGGTTAGGTATTTTTTTTTTATCTTTCTTTCTAGAAAGCAGTCTTTGTGACACATTTCAATATAAGTAATCGAAATGAGTACGGCTTCCTCCCATTCTGAAGTTTAGGAATGGGACCTTTCTTTGCTTGATATTATTTGGGAGAGCTCAATATTACTTTGAAAATGCCATCACATTTTGCTTTTACAATATGACATTATTAAGTGTTGCATTCTCTGAGAATACACAGTAAAGTACAACGTACAAGAGGATATTATTATTGAAAAGGATCCAGGTCTAAAATTTAGAACTATGCTATAGTGTTGTAGATCTTCTCCTTTGCGCTAAGCTGACATTTGTGGAATCCATGAAACATAATGTATTGATAAACCCGAAAAGATTTGAATTCTTATTATAAAACACATACGTAGTATATGCGAGTGATGCATTCAATACTTGACCACATGGCACCAGGTGCACACTTAGCATTAGTATGTGACCCTAATTATTTATATTAAGTGATATAAAGGCAATACATTTTTTTTTTTCCTCTTTATTTCGGCCATAAGTATTTTTTTTTTTTTTTTTTTTCATGACAAGAAACACATATTTTCATCCACACACACTCTTTTTACCAACATCTGGATTATAGTTATTTCTTTTTTTTTTTTGAATATGAAAAAATTATACCATTAGACTAAATGTCATTCGATGAACAAATCCTTCTTAATATATAATTTTAATTATCTTTTCAATTTATTTATGTTTATTTTTAGAAAAGAAAAAGAACAATGAGAAAATTGAAAGGTTCCACAAATTTATAGTTTGAGTTTGAATGCTTGAATTGATTATTATGTAGTTTGGGGTTTAAAATTAACAACACTAAAATTGAATAACTTAATAATTGCCTCTGTCGGCATTGGGAGTGATGTTATTGATAAATAAATAAATAAATAAAAACAACAACAACAACTTACAAGAAATATTACGCTACTGTGTGTGTGTGTTTGAGAGAGAGAGAGGTGTACTAAATTTATTTTAAAATGTGATTTGGGCTCTTGTGACTGTCTTGCATTGGTGTACGCTGGCTAGGGTAACAAATAAAGAGCCCTCATATCGGGGGTACTGAGATAATATTATAATGAAATATAAACAAACCTCACTAATTTGAATTTTATTGTTTCGGCGGTTGTGACTGTCCTACGTTGATGTATGTTAGTTGTGAACAGGAATAATGATTGAAGTGACAAGTGGAAGACACACATATGTAAATACTTGTTATAAAATACTCTTACTGTCTAAAAAAAAATGTCCTGTTTTTTCTAAATAGAACATTTAATCTAGGACAGAAGTAATACTAATATATCATATTATAGTCTAAAATTTAAGCACAATTTTCCCACTAATTATTTTATTTTATTTTATTTTATATATTTATAAAATTTTAAATATTGTGCCCCTTAAAATTACATAATAATAAATAAATAAAAACCCCTATCCCGCCCCCCAGATGTCAACATATTAAGAGCCTCTTTGATATAGAATCCTGTTAAAAAAAAATAATATTATAAGTGTCGTTCTGTTTACTTGATCCTTGGGAAAATATATATATATATATATATAGATTCAACTAAAGTTGGCTTACTCGTCGATAAAAATATTAAAATAATAGTCAAATTTCTCTAGATTGTTTTTTTTTTTTTTTTCATTTGTAGAAAGTAGAAACTAGAAAGAGAATGTGAAAATGATGGAACGACAGACGTTGATAGAGAAATAGGAGAACATGGCGAAGCCCACTTTATCAATTGACTCGACCATACCAAAGCCATGTGCAATGCCTCGACCTGGTCGCAATTCGATGCCGTTTGAAATCCTCTACAAGTCAGTGAGTGCCGTCGCACCTTTGATTTATGTCTTTTTCGTTGGGCACAACATGTTTGTGAATTTGCCTATGAGAAACCCAGATTGGATATCTACATATCAACAACACACCTCATAATTCCTACTAATACTCTGATTTTTCTTTTTCTTTGCATTGCTGCTAATCTACTTTTTCTATGAATGGTTAACGTCTTGAACATTAAAGATTACAAGGACATTTATAGAATATCTTGGTTATCATTATAATTTTTTTTTTGTTTCTTTTTCTTAAGGCATTTGGTTATCATTGTATTTTCATGCACACCATTAAAAAAATTTGTATACCGAAACCAAATAAAAATATACTGTAAAGTGTAAACCGGTTTATATACATGCTAAAACCCAATACATAAAACATCAAACACGCAACATATTGTATAGCACACATTATCATCACTTCATAATCCCAAAAGCTCAGCCCTGTTTTTTGTGCATCTCATGAGATTACATGATGTAGATGTATCGTTTAATGGTGGATCCATAAACTCGATGCCTTTACCGTCTTTGTCAAAGTAATTTACAAATTCTAGAGAATTTAAGTTTTCACGATAAACTTGAAGGCATGTATTCATCTTGCCTCATGATATGCCCCAGTAGAACCACCAAAGCTATAAGCATTGTATCTTGGTGGAGTATATCCCTCTTTTTTACATATTTAGGAGTGCCTCAGTCCCTCAACCCCTACATTGCACGAGTTAATAAATGCTATACGTTTTAGCAATAACATATGGATTTGATAGCTTTGAGAGGCAACATTTTCCGATGGTTAAGCTTTGAGAAGCAGTTTACTTAATATGTTCCGACAATCCAGCCCATTTTGCTTCATTTTATCTTTTTCGCCATACCAAAGTTTTATATCTTGGGATTCTTCAAGCCATTGGGTTACCCGTTCAATCATACGAACATGTAATTCCCAACATAACAGCAACCATCTGATCAAATCTACATCAAATTTGTGGGCAATTAGTTTCCAAGTAAGAAAGTAGCAACTTGATCCCCTCCAAGTTTAAAATGTATCTTGGATTTTTAAGCTTAAATTTGTGTAGCGTACTAGAGTGGCAGTAAAAAATCTTTAAAAATCACTGGATTCTTATGTCCCGTTAATTTTTAAATCAAAATTTAAAACTATATATGATAAGAGACTGAATCTAGATTAAGTCAATCAATCAAGTCCCGAGTTTTAAATGCATTGGGATGTACTCAGTTTGCTTGGATTAGTAGCATAACCTCAGCATTAAAGTGAATAGGTTCAGAAGCATAAAAACCGTGCTGCTTTGTCTTTACTGTTTTGAATGTGTTTGCTATTATCCTAATTATTGCTCTAGATTGGCTATTCGTAGCTACTTTATAATAAATTCTCATCTAAGTTTTACCGTTGATTATTGCTTTTTCGCAATGCTACAAGCCTCTCTTCATCTGTTTAACTTTTCCCATCATTTTATTAGGTCTCATTGCATGTGTGCCATCTCATTAAATCATCCTGAGATCCCCATGTCAACTTGATACACTTTTCCTTCACTTATCAGTCACTTTTCTATAATCCCATGAATTCAATACGTTCAATATTTGTGATCTGATCCAAAAGTGGGATCATAAAAATGCATTTCTTCTGGTGATGCAATTCACACTGTCAATCCTCAGGCTAAGAAGGTAAATATTATCTTAGCAAGTTAGACCAACATCAGGAAGGACAAAAAATATGAAAGAATGGCATACCTCATGAAAGCTAGAACTTTCATCGGGGTTTAAGTTGGGTGATTGTTGCAACGTCAACTGAACAAATTTCTTCCTGCAATCTGACCTTGCTTTCATCTTCATCTTTATTTATCGAAAAAGCAGGTCTTTCTGGAGTAGGCACAGTGTCAGTTTCGTTTTTGAGCATTGAAGAAACTTCCAACATGGACGGCCTATCTGCCCTTTTTTCTTGGACACACAATAAAGCCACCTGCATGCATCTCAAGAGTTTACATGTCGAGTATGTATCATCTAGTGATGGATCCATAAATTCCATGCCTTTACCAACTTTCCAGAGTCCATATGCCTGAAATAGATCAGAAACAATCTTCTTTAGTTCACATTACAAATTTAATATCACGACCATGATTGAAAGGCTTGTCAAAGTAACTTACGTATTCTAGAAGATTTAAATTTTTGTAAAGGCCATACAGACATGTATTCTTCTTGCCACTTATTATTTGCAAGAGAAGAACTCCAAAGCTGTAAACATCGTATTTTGTTGAGTATATACCTCCTTTTACATACTCGGGAGGAACGTAACCACTGCATTGCGGGAAGCATCAGAAAGATTAGTATTTGATGATAAAACACATGATTGTGAGAGATTTGGGGATCAATTTACTTACTATGTTCCAACAATCCGGCCTGTGTTTGCTTCAAGTTCATCTTTTTGGAATATTCTAGCTATACCAAAATCAGATATTTTAGGTTTCATCTCATTGTCCAGTAAAATGTTGCTAGCTTTCAGATCTCTATGAATTATTGTCAACCTCGAGTATTCTTGGAGATATAGAAGCCCTTGAGTAAGCCCTTCAATGATATGAGCTCGTTTCTCCCAATCTAACAGAAGCCGTCTGACTGGATCTACATGAAATAAGATTTATGAATAATTACCTAGATCTTGTAATAGTAACTTGTGGTGAAGTGAGTTACACCCCTATAAGCTCAAGTTGCACTGTTGCTTCATTCACCTCTTGTTGAACCCTTATGCACAGAAAACACATGGAGGGGCACTCTAATTCTTAACCCTTATGCACAGAAAAAACATGGAGAGGTAATCTAATTCTTATTATGATGAATGATTTGGCAACATAATTTTATGAAGGGTACAGTTATCATTTTACAATTTTTGCCAAAGTAAGATCTGTGTGTGGAAGTGTGGTAAAAAAAAAAAATCTATGTGTGGAAGTTATATGCATTACAGTTAATTTTACAAAATGACACAGGTAGGATTTATAAAAGTTGCATACCATAGAGGTAGGTATCCAAGCTGTTATTCGGCATGTACTCATAGATCAGCAAATTTTCTTCCCTTTCAGTGCAAAATCCAAAAAGTTTGACTAGATTGACATGTTGTAGTTTTGCTGTAAGTGTAACCTCATTTTCGAATTCCTCCAGTCCTTGTTTAGAAGTTTCTGAAAGTCTTTTCACTGCTATTTCTTGTCCATCCAGTAGTTTACCCTAGAAAACCATACCCATAGTATATCAACTAGGTATACAGCTGTATGTGATTCTTTCTACAAATGCAACACTATCACCACTCAACAGTTTGTTTCTTATATATATGGTTGACAATCATATAGCTGTAAGTAATGCCTACACACATTGTGTACACTTTATGAACAACAAAGAAATAGCACGGGTCCTAGAAAGCCACATCTTTGAGATCTTCAAATTATTTGAAGCATAAAGGAATTCTCTAGATGTTTTTATAAGGGAATGAATTGTCTGCAAGTGCCTTGCGTCTCTGTGTGCGCGTTTGTTTGGGCACATGTGAAGTGGGAGTTGGGGTGCGGAGGCATTTTTACACCTAAAGGTTCTGAATTATGTGCCGAGCTGTGTGCTCACATTGTTTTTTAGTTATTACAGACTCAATGTTGATAGAGCTTGAGTTTTGTTTTTCAGTAAATTTTGGGAGGGAATGGCACAGATCATGCTCCTAGGACATGGTTGTTTCAATGGGATGTTTCTAGGTTCATTATTTTATGGAATTATAATCAGGTTATATTGTAAGAAGAGTATATGTATTGCGAGATTTTTTTATTATTGAATGGTTTGAATCCTTTGATTAGGGGAAAAATAGAAATGAAAAAGTTTAGGAGTTGTTGGACAGAAATCAGTGAAATCCCCTAGAAAAAGAGGAAAAGAGTGTTTATCACCTTCTTTGGCTGTCAAATTGCTTCTGAGTGATGTATGCATATATACATACACAGGTAGATATTTTTTGTACAGATCTTTATTTGCATACATATGTATGCAAAAACACATTTATATGTATATGATGATGATGCATACATCATAGATGTTCTATTAGTATGGCTTCAGGCAGAAATTGTTCATTGTTGGTTTGACTTTTGCAACACAGATATCCTCATTGTCCTGAAGGTAATGTATACAAGGGCGAATCCAGGAATTGTTAATGGGGTGGGCTAAAAAAATTTTTGGGTGGACTAATACTAGTAATAATAATAATTTTTTTTTTTTTTTTTTTTTTTTTGGGGGGTGGGCTCAATCCTAGCACCTAGATACGCCCTTGAATGTATATATTATATATGTCAAGAAATTAATTTTCAGTAATTTGTGTGTTCACGTATATGATTCATGTGGAGTCTATTTGAGTTGCAATGTACTAATGTACACTGACCAATATGAGTTCTTTCTCACAGTCACATGTATCTTCTCATCTTTGTTGAGGAAGTGTGATTGGACTATGAATCATGCCGGAAATTGTAGGTGTAGTTTCTGTCTCCACTGGTTTTAATTTCCGTACAAGATCCTCATTATGTAAATAATTTCAGAAGTGAGAGAGGTGGGGTGGATTCTCACAATATGATAGTTTTGAAAAGTAAAAGACATAAATCTATAGTGAAAAGTAAAAGACACAAATCTACAAGATCGTCATTAGTCGGTAACTTGTAGGTCCACTCGAAATAAACAAAAAAAAAAAAATCATTCCTTCCAAAGATTCAGGGGTTAGAATTAAGTAAGATAAGAGAGCATCTTAGAGAATGATGCACTGATTGAAGGATTTTAAGTAAGCATGTGAACATAAAAAGATTTTATGTTTTAAGAGAACTGCTCTGGTTCCTTTTTTTGTGTCTCAAACCACATCACACACTTGAAATACTGAAATATATGATCTAAGCTTTTTCCACATAAAAGAATTAACAAACAGTTACATTATCTAATTTTACCTTATAAACAGGTCCAAATCCACCCTGTCCAAGCTTATTTTTACTTGAAAAGTTATTCGTAGCTGCTTTGATATTAGCATAACTGAATACTTGCAGATTAGGATACGGTGACTTTCTTCTTGGACTCAATATCCCTGTAATTAAGAAAAAAATAAAAAATAAAATAAAAAAATAAAAATAAAAATAAATTTGAGAACTGTTAATATTGTCTTCTTATCTGAAATACCATGCATTTAGTGAGTAGTAATAATGAAATCTATAGCATTTGTAAATTTTACCTTTCCACTTGAAAACTCTCCTTCGCAAGTAGCACATCATGGTAGCTAGTAGAAGAGTGATTATAGCAATTGTAGGCAACATAATTGCTAATAGCCGTCCCTTGTTTGGATGATCGTTGTTTACTTCCTCTTCTTGAGCTGCAAAGGTACTTAGTTAGAACTTTTCATAGGATGTTTGCAATCACTTATTTCAACTTATCTGATATTCTAGTGGGAGAACAGGATGCCGTGAATTCTGATGAGGTCTCTATGAGTTCACTAGAGTTGAAAGAATGGTGTGAATTTTCTTTTGCTTTAAAGTAACTGTCTGAGTAATGATGACTAGCTTATGTTTTTGCTATGTTTCGAGGAACAGATTAATATGGAGCAGTGAAAAAGATTTTCATATGGCAAGTTGCGAAGGAAAAGAGGGAGGGCCATGAAGATTACAGAAATGATAAACTTATTTCTTACCTGCCCTAGAGAGCACCCAGTTGTCATCTTGGGGAACTTGCCATACGCTATAACCAAGAAGCCCTTTGTCCTTTGCATAAGAAACCTTAGTTCTAATGGCCTGCACATCATCGAAGCCAATCCAGAACGATCCAATGGTGCAGTAATTCACTACGTAAGTTGCATTGTATACTGGAGCAACTCCGTAGCTTCTAATGTAGTTCTGGATGTACTTGTAGCTCATGGATCCATCTGCTGTAATGGCCATGCCTCTGGCTGGTGCACCAATTTCATTATCTTTGGAACTCACAAGTGTCCATGCATAGCCATGGAATGCTAAGCCCAAAACCAGCTTGCTAGCCAGTAATCCTCTATTGATCCACTCCTTTATACCATAATCAGTATTTTTCTGGCTTGAGGGGTCATATAAAGCAGCATGAGCACCTGTAGAATTTTCCCTCCAAGGCAAATGATAATCAAATGATCTGACATGTAACCAGTCCACATTCCTCTGAATTGATTCTACCGGGTAACTCATGGAGTCCACCTCAGGCAAGTAATAACCTTCCATTGTCAGGACCAATTGGGATCGGCTAGACTTTTTTGACTCAGAATTTATAGCTGTTCGCCATTCATCGAGGAGAGTTCCTACACCGGTCATGTTTTTGGTTGTGCGGGGATCAACACCGAGAAGATCCAGGCCTTGAAATTCATGAAGCCTGGCTGTTCTTATGGAAGACTCAATGAAAGAACGTCTTTGGGAAGATTGACTAAGCACTGAGTTAAAGTCTGAAGAGTTTGCCCAGATGGATAGAATTGTTATAATGGCTGGGTTCTTTTGCTTGACGATGTCTGTGAAGGTGGAGAAGTAAGGTTCATCTGAGGCGTTGATAGAGAGTTGATAGGTTGAAGAGTTGATAAATGCAAAAGCACAAACGAGGTGCGTGAACAGAGCAGAATTTATGTCAGGAACGGGGGATTCACTACCGGAGTACCAGTAACCGGCTTTGATCCAGGTATGTGCTTCTGAACATTTCACACGTGAAGGAAGAATGAGAAGGATGGTAATGACTTCGAACAACATTGAAACTATGTAGCTCATGCTCTCTCTATAGCAATATCTAGCAAAACACAGACTCCTTTAGGATCAAATTTGGTAATATAATTTAGGCAACTTTCTTAAGTAGTTAGAACATGTTAAGATCTAGAAGGAAAAAGTTGTGAAGATAGAATTTCCCTCTCCCCCAAAAGCATGAAGTTCATGAACCACATCATATGTAAACTCTACCACACCTTTCATATAACTGGAATTCTCACCCACAAATATTCCATTATTCTGGACGCTTAATTACATGGGATGAGTTGAAAAGTCACTCGTGGGTCCCGCGTCCTCTATATGTATTGTGCACCTGCACACATATATGAATTAAAGGTGTCCAGGAATCTCCATGCAAGTTCCTTTCACTACTTGAAAATGAAACCAATTTAGTCACGTCAGGTTTTGGTTGAAGGTCCTAGTCAAAAATTACTTGCCAAATTTTCAATTCGTTTAGATTCTAAACTTGATATCAACGTGCCTTGATAGACTTGATGTGCCAATAATAAAAACTTTTATAGAGCAATTATTAGGAGTTAGCATTTGTGTCCAGAGCAGTATAACGAGGTTTGCTGTAGTGGGGTGATTGAATATGTATGGATTTTTCCTCAAAAAAACTCTTATTTAATCAGCTTTACAAGTAATCTTGAAAATACTAAAATTGAATGTGTATCGTATCTTTTGGGTAGGTGACTGTCTATCATATTTGCTGGCACTTGAAACATATGCTTCAAAATTACCCAATGAGTCCATGCAAATTTTCACCAATGATCATTAATTTTCATTAGACAATTAAAATTTCCCGACTACGATGAGAACCCTTGGTCAGTCGAATCATATTCACCAATCACAATAAAGTTAGAAGTTTTAGAATTATGAATTTTAAGTAACATGTGATGCATAACAATAGATTTAAAAGAACTGGACTCTATGTAGAGAAATAAATTTATAGTCATAGTTACTCATAGGCCCTAGGTGATTGTGTTTGAGAGCACTGAATCAGTGTAACGACCCACTCCACCATATGGTATGATATTGTCCGCTTTGGGCCTGAGCCCGCACGGTTTTGTTCTTGGGCTTCACCCCAAAAGGCCTCATACCAATTGGAGATGACACACTTACATATAAGCACTTCACCTTTCCTCTACCCAGGCGATGTGGGACTGTGCACCTATAGCTCACCAGTGTGGTAGCCTGACAGTGTCTCTCGCACCCGCCCACGGCACACCCGCCCATAAGGTCATCACAATCCACCTCCCTTGGAGGCCCGACGTCCTCGTCGGCACACTTCCGGCTGGGTCAGGCTCTGATACCATTTGTAACGACCCACTCCACCACATGGTATGATATTGTCCGCTTTGGGCCTGAGCCCGCACGGTTTTGTTCTTGGGCTTCACCCCAAAAGGCCTCATACCAATTGGAGATGACACACTTACATATAAGCACTTCACCTTTCCTCTACCCAGGCGATGTGGGACTGTGCACCTATAGCTCACCAGTGTGGTAGCCTGACAGTGTCTCTCGCACCCGCCCACGACACAGATACCCCCTAATTTTGGAACACGGATTGATCAAGTCCGCGCACAAAATCAAGGGATATCAAAACAATTTAAGTATTTAACAAGCACAGAATACAAAGATGAATAATAAAGAATAAATAAACCGCTGAAGAAAACTAATAAATAAATATTACTTAATGATTCTCCAACAATTACAATTCGGAAATCCCATAACTCAAGGACCCCTTAAAACATTATCCAATAATTCAATACTATTTAAAAGTACACAAGATGAATAGACGAATGACAGTCTCCCAGCTGTGGATCCTCAACCTCGAGACTGGAACCTCTAATAACCTAAAAAATAAATCGTGGGTTAAACCCTACGAGCAAGTTCATTCTACCAGGCCTCTGAAAACCAATAAGCAGATCATCTCTGATCAAAACCAAACCTAATAAAGTTTTAACTTTAATAAAGTACGATATACATGTCTATATATAATTATATATACTATACTAATCACATCCATTAATAGATTTATTAAATTTCCATACCTATTAAATAATTATTAAAATAATATTCATACCTAGACCAATCTACCATTTCATTTTATAAAAACTCCTTTGACCTTAATCCCATCCTAGTCAGTTGTTTAATCATTTAAACAACAAATTATAATAAAAGAAATACTCTATTTAATCCCAACCCGATAATGATTTTAATTGTTTAAATCACATATCAAAAATCCAAGTTTTGACAAATCATCCACGTCTTCCCCAATATTATTTTATTAATGGAAAATAATACACTAACTAGTAAGTACTAAACTATTCTCATTTAATAATATCTAACCCTAATCCAATCCATACATACAACAACCATAGATGATATTTTAATCATCTAACACATAACAACGTAATTATGCTTTGGCAAATCAACCATGCCATTGTAAATATTTTTATTTATATATTGGCAATTCAACCATGCCTCCATAAGTATATTTATTTATACATTGGCAATTCAACCATGCCTCCGTGTATGTATATTTATACATTGGCAATTCAACCATGCCTCCACAGGTATATTTATTCATACATTTAATTAGCAATTCATCCATACTTTCCATATATGTATTCTATTCATACAAATATTTAGGTAATATATTTAATCATTTGACAATTCATCCATGCCCACACTTTAACCATGAATTAACTTTAAAATTAACAATACGCTAAATCATACATAGCCATCACATGCATATTATACGCATATCATTAATTTAACAACCAGCCTATTAAGATATGCCAAATAAGAATGATAATATTAATCATCTTAAATGATTTATATATATATATACCTACACATATGTTATTTAATGTATATATGTGTTTAACACCTTCTTTAATAATCCTTGATTATTTAAAATCAATATACATACATATATATATATATATATATATTCATCCTTCCATACAACTCATAGACAAATTAAACTATATATACACATATATAAATAATTATATATATATATATATATATATATATATATATATACACTTCCTTCCATAACAAATTATTAATTTATTATATTTACACAAATTAGTGCAACTAAATATGTCAGAAATAGTTTCCTTTAAATACTCCATATTGGTTTAAATAGTTTTCCGACACTTTCTCACTAAAACATAAATATCTCCTAGTAGGATGGGAATCTGATAATGAAATTGGTACCATTGGAAAGAAGACGAAAAATCCTTGAATTTGAGCTCAAGAATGACCCAATTTCGATTTAAAATGACTAAGTTATGACCGTTTTAATTTCTAGTGTCGAATTAGGCCAACATAGTTTCCCACGCGCGCCCACGTGCTTACTATGCACTTGCACGCGCTGGATTCAAGCCTCCTTGTGTGCTGGTATTGGCTAAGCTCTTTCAGCTACCGTGAGCTCACCACACTGAATCCATCACTTCCTTTATGCCGCATCCAATGGTCATAAATGAGTGCGCAAATAAACACGCTCACACTAGATTATTTTCTATTAACTATAATAGATCTAAGGTCCAGATCAGCGAGTGCACCATCTTCTCATGGTCTGCAATACACCAAATAATCCCATAGTTGACCAGACCACTTCTATGGTCCAGATACACATGCGCACCAAAGTTTTATGCGCCGCGATGCACCATATCAATTCACATAAGTTTAATTAATCAAATGGCCCTAATTGGCGTATACACCCTATTATCCTACACCGCGCCGCACTGGATCAATTCTTTATTGTGCCGCCGCTCCACATGCGCCAATTACCTAGTATATATATATATATATATATATATATATATATATATATATAATTATTTTCCTAACAAATAATAGGAAAATAAATCCTAATAAATTCCTAAAAATATCAGAAAAATTCCAGAAAATTACAGAACAATTCTAGAAAATAAAGAAACCATAATTAACTCTCTTGGGTCACAAATCCACCTATAGATTGATTTTAAAATATACATAACACCTATATATATCAATTAAAATCCAATAATCTAAAAATCAAATATAATAGTTTATACTTTTTAATTATTCCGATCTAACCATAATTTTTAAACAAATAAATTTAATTAAAGCCTTGATACTCAAGGTGAAATCCTTATGAGTTCTAAGAGGAAAGTTAGAGAAAACTCGCCTGAAGGTTTCGAAACGAAACCGACGCTTTAAGCTTTAATTATCTCTTCCAATTCCGACGTCCTCCTTTTCAGATCCGACCTCCTCCTTGTCAGCCCTTCTTCTTCCTCTCTCTCTGTCTGTTTTATTTTTCTAACGTGTAAAACCTTTAACCCTAAAGCCTTATGTGTATTTTTATACACCTTAAATTCCAAATCCTATTCCAACTAGTATTATGAATTAAAATAATAATCTTTAAATAATTTATATCTATAAACATATATATATATATAAATATATATTCCTTCCATAATTAACTCATTAGTTAATTAAATCATATATACTTATAAATATCAATAAATATATATCTATATATATATCTTTCTATAACAATTATTAATTAATTATATTTATATATAATTATATATATATATAAATATAATTGATACAAAAGTGATCATTTAAATAATTAAATAACCACGGACCTTCATTAATTAACCCAATAAGGTTTCATACAAGCCCAAGACCACATCTTTTGGTCCAACTCTCCTTAAGCCCAATCCAATTAATTTAAATAAATAAGATAATTAATTAAATACAGAAATTAAAATAACTAATTACATGAAGCACATAAACAAACAAGAATTTACAACTAAGTCATATAATACCAATAAAATCAACACACCAATAATTCAATCAATAATCAACCACACAAACAATCAATCATCATACATAATCACGAAATATAACTTAATTAAAATAAGATAATTAATCTAGCACTCAATAAAATAAAATAAATCATTGAAAAATAAAATAAAATAATTAATCCTAATTAATAAATCTTTTAAAATTATCGGGGTATTACAATCAGTGCTTTGAATTTCGAATTAGAGAAAATTTAGTTTAAAGTTTTAATTAAGTTTCTTCTAATTTTAAATTCAAACTGCGAATTAGATGCTCGCAACATAACAATCATGTAATTGTTTCAAACTAACATATAGAATTTTATGTAAACACAAAAAAACTTGTGATGCGAATTTTGGTCTTTCA